AGTTCAAAAAGGAGGGCTGGGGGCATGCCACTATATTCTACTCAAAAGCTGGGGAGGTCCAATGCTCTGGCCTGCAGAGCTGAAGACCACTATGGCATAGTTGGCAGAGCTTGGGGCACCTTCAGGGGTACACCTGGCAGTGGTCAGGGGGCAATGAGCACTGGGGAACAAACAGGTACCACACACATGCAAAGCATGCATCCCTGGCCCCTGTGATATCTCTTGGGCCCTGGAGAAGCAATATTGAGGGGTACTAGTGTCCCTCTTTTTCCTCCCAATTCCCCATTCCCCTAGTAATATGAAAATATGCCATATATTGCCCCAAACCAGGGTATGCACTGTGGCCTCTAATGAGTCCCAGAGTCTCGCTAGGCAGGAGCTGGGCAGTGCCCTATGAAGCTGAGCACAGAGAGGTTAAGTAACTGACACAAGGTCACACGGTAGAAAGTCGTCAGGCTGGGACTCCAAGCGTTAGGCACCAGGGTGTCTTGTTCCACAAGTGGGGCCCTGGCTCACATTGGGGCCCATGCAAAGCTGTCTGCCAGAGTAATAGATGTACAAAACAGAACAAGGGACAGGAGTGATAGTGCAGTGGGAAGGGTTCTTGCCTTGCACGTTGACCTGGGTTTGATCCCACACCCCCAACAGTCCCCCAAGCCCCACCAGAAGTGATCCCTGAGCACCACCCAGTGTGGACCCTAACAAACAAGAACCAGAACGACTGTTTTATGGCATTTTCTCCATTTGGGGACCACACTGGATGGTGCTCAGGGCTTATTCCTGGCTCTGTGCTTAGGGATCACACCCGGTGGAGCTAGGGAGACCAAACCCAGGTCAGCCATGTGCAAGGCAAGCACCTTAACTGCTATGCTAACCAGCTTAGCAATCATCTCTGCTCAGATCTCAGTCTCCACTTCACCTCCTTTGAGTCTTTCCAGCCCACCCAATTCACACTGCACCAGGACCTCCCCTCCCGCTGACCGCATCTTCTAACACATTTACACCTCAAAGTTAGTTCTGTATCCGTGCCTCCCCTCTCCCTGAACAAGGGAAGGTCCTCACTTTTCTTGGTTACCTCTGTATCCTGAGTTCCTAGAGAAAGGCTCACAATAGGGCCAGGCGCTCAATCAATATTTATTGAGTGGATGAGTAAATGTAGTTTTCCCAACTAGACTGCAAGCTCCCAGAAGTCTGGGTTTGGTTACTTCCTGGAGAGCCAGCACAGGGCTACTGTTAAGTGACTGCTCACTGATATGTAGGAGAAAAGGCCCAAAGTAAGGAACTTGGGGATCAGGGTCCAGGCCACTCACCTAATCATGGACTTTGGAGTCAGACTGTCTCTTTTTGTGGTCTGCTCTCAAGAGACCTGGGTTTGAGGCCAGAGAGATAGTACAGGGATTAAGGTGCTTGATCTGCATCCTGCAGACCTCAGTTCAAATCCCTAGCACCACCTATAGTCCCTTGAGTAGAGCCAGGAGTTACAGAAAAATATCTTTGAGGATATGCCCCCAACCCCCGCTCCTCTGCCCAAAAAAAAAAAAAAAAAAAAAAAAGAGCGGGACAGAATGATAGGAAAGAGCTTTGTTAGATTTCTGGGGCAATTCATGCTGCCATCCTGGGATTTTATGAATGAATGACCCACGAGTCATTCATAATAGCTGAGCTGTCCTAGGGTGCAGTCACACTGGGCAGCAATGTGTTCACCTGCTCCACTCTCTCTTCCCAAGTCTCTATCGTTTTTTGTTTTTGTTTTTTTTTTCTTTTTGGGTCATACCCACCGATGCTCAGGGTTATTCCTGGCTCTGCACTCAGGAATTACTCCTGGCGGTGCCCAGGGAACCATATGAAATGCTGGTAACCGAACCTAGGTCAACCGCATACAAGGCAAATGCCCTATCCGCTGTGCTATCACTCCAGCCCAGTCTCGATCGTTTTTGCAGGGAGTGGGAATTCCCAGTGATTTGGCCAGATGTTCAGGGGTTAGAGCTAGTTATGCAAGGTTGCTCAGGTTTATCAGTGTTGGGGGCCACCAAGGCCATACCCAGCAGTGCCAGGGACTTCTAGGGCTAAACCCTAGAAGTATGGGCAGTATCCGGGATTGAACTCAGAGGCCTAGTGCAGTCTAGGCATTCGCTCCAGCCTTCTGACCTCTCTCTCTCTCTCTCTCTCTCTCTCTCTCTCTCTCTCTCTCTCTCTCCCCCCTCCAGTCACTTTCTTGGGGTACTCCTGAGCTCACACTGGAGTCATTATTGGCCCCAGTGAAAACCTCATTCCTGTGTACTCCTAAGGGCAGGAATGTCCTCCCAGGAACTAGTTGAGAAGCCAAGGTGGTCCCTCCCCTCCTCCCTCACTCTCACCCTCTCAGCCATTTAATGAACAAGTCCTGCAGAGCCAAAGAGAAAGCTCAAGGGCTGGAGGACCTGTTTTGCACCCCACAATAGTACCACCTAGTCCCCCAAGCACCACCAAGAGTTACCCACCACTTCAGCCCCGAGCAGCTGGGAGCAGTTCATGCTGAGTATGGCTCAAGAACCAAATCAAACTCAAAATAAGCCCATATTGCTGAATTTACCTCCCATGTTGCTACTGAATCCATTCCTTCCCCCATTTCCCACAATATACCTAGACCTACCCCATCTCCACCTCTGCTTCTGCAGAAACTTACTGGTCTCCAGTTCTGCTCGGCAGTCAGAATGAGTCTTCACATGAAGTGGGAAAATTAGAGGCAGGATATCTGAGTGACCCATGCTAGAAGCTGAGCAAAGATGCATGAATCAGTTGGGGCAGGAGAGATATAGTACAACAGGTAGGGCATGTGCCTACCTGCTGTACTATAACTTGCACATGCCCTACCTTGATCTCATGCTTAATCCCTGGCACCTCACTGGGTCCTCCAAGCCCCAACGGGAGTGATCCCTGAGCCCCTAAGCACTGCTGGATGTGACCCCCCAAATAAACAAAAAGATGAATGGGTGATAAGTCACAAAATGACAAGAACAGAGCAAGGGAGCAAGGGAGCAAGTCTAATCACGTTGCCTGGACAAGAAACAGGTCACATAAATACTTAATCTATATGGAACTTAAAGTAAATTGCATTAATCACTGATTATACTAATTATTGTATGTTATAGCAACTTTGTTAGCAACCATTATATCTGTTGAATGAAAAATGTTTCCCTAGGCATCAGAGTGATAGTACAGCAGGTAGGGCACTTACCTGGCACAAGACCAACCCAAGTATGATCCTTGGCATCCCATATGGTCTTCTAAGCCCAGGAGTAATTCATGAGTGTAGAGCCAGGAATAACTCCTGAACACCTCCAGGTGTGGCCCAAAACCCCCCCAAAAAGGAGTTTTCCCCAGAAACAGATAAGCTATTAGTAGCCTATAAAGGGCTGGAGCAATAGCACAGCAGGTAGGGTGTTTGCCTTGCACGTGGCCGACCCGGCCGACCCAGGTTCAATTCCTCTGCCTCTTTCTGAGAGCCCGGCAAGCTAACGAGAGTATCTCGCCCACACGGCAAAGCCTGGCAAGTTAACTGTGACATATTTGATGTGCCAAACACAATAACAAGTGTCACAATGGAGACGTTACTGGGCCTGCTCTAGCAAATCTATGAACAACCGGAGGACAGTGACAGTGACAGTGACAGCCCATAAAAGCTCTTTGTGAACTGTATTTGAACCAGACCCTTTTTTGGTGATAGCCAGGTCGAGTCAGCTAAATACCTTTGGCCAGACTTCTCAGGTGCTGCCTCAGAATTCTTTAAGACACTTAGTCTCTTGGGTCAGACTTGTAGCTCAATGACAGAGCACTTGCCTCTTCTGTGTGAGACTGAGTGCAATGCGTGGCACTGCAAAAAGTAAACACCCAAACTCTTAACCTAGAAGAACCCTTCAGTTCCCATTTCCCCATGCTAGGATGGAGCCCAAATACCTTCTGTTCATCTACAAGAAACTGCACAATCGGAACTGAAATTGCCTCCCTATCCCTTAAGCTCCTGAGCCCCCAAACTTGGGTCCCTTCTTGCTGTAAGCTCTTCACTGCCCTCTGCCCTCTGTATTCTGCCCCTGACCAACCCTGCTGAGGCCAACCCTGCAGGTCTCGGCTTGGAAGAGGCAGAGATGCTTTTGCTGTGTAATCCCCTTCCATGTAACGCCCAGACACACTTTGACCTGGAGTTCCTTAGGGTTAGATCTTACCTGCCTTGTCCCCTTTATTTATTTTTTGGCTTTTTTTGGGTCACACCCAGGGATGCACAGGGGTTACTCCTGGCACTGCACTCAGGAGTTACTCCTGGCGGTGCTCAGGGGACCATATGGGATGCTGGGAATCGAGCCCAGGTCGGCCGCGAGCAAGGCCAACGCCCTGCCCGCTGTGCTATCTCTCCAGCCCCGTCCCCTTTATTTTTGTAATTCCGCCCCCCCTTTTTTTTGCCTTGTTCCATTCTTAGCAAACATACAGGGTTGGGAACTAGGTAACAGCCGCTTAGCAAATGTGTGTGGAATGAAATGACTACACCAAGAGCCTGCAAAGAAATCTTGGTGGAAGTGGTGTTATTTGGGAACCCTGCGGTGCTCCTGGCTCTGCGCTCAAGGGTCACTCGTGGCGGGACCACACAGGATGGCAGCGATCTGAGATGCGGGAGGTTTTGGGATGCTGGAGATGGAGCCCGGCTGGCTCAGCTGCGTGCACTGTACTATCCTCCACCGCTCCACAAAACCTATTCTGGGTTTTCAACCCAATCCACCCGGACTATGCGTACAGGCACATCTATCCCGGACGCAGAAAACCAGTCGCAGCGAGGGTCCTGGAGGGCACCTGGCCGCGCCGACGGCCGCAGGACCGGGGCGCGCGCGGGGCACTCGCTCGCGGGGCGTGAGGCGGGGCGGGGCCCGCGCGGACCCGCGTGACGTCAGCGCGCCCGCGGCGTGTGACGCCCCGGTTGCCGCAGAGACGCCCCGCCCCGCGCGGCGCTGCGGAACCGGAGTCCGGGCGGCGGCGGCGGCGGCGGCGCGAGAGGCGGCGGGACCGGGGGGCGGCAGCCGGCGCGGCCACGCAGCGGGGCGGCGGGGACGGAGCAGACCGCGGGCACAGCGGCCGCCGGGACGCGGGCGGGCAGCCGCCAAGCCGCCGGGCGACATGGTGCTGCTCAAGGAGTAGTGAGTGTCCCTGGGCCGCGCGGCCGAGGAGGCAGGGACAGCCGGGAGGACGACCTCGGAGGAGATGCAGCGGGAGGACGGCGCGCGAGGGGATGGGCAGCGCCCGCGGGCGCCGCGGGCTCGGGCGCGGATAGCACCTGCGGCGCGGCCCCGGGGGCCGGAGGCCCGACAGGCCGGAGGGGAGGCGGACGGGACCGGGAGGGCCGAGTGGGCCCGAGGCGCGGTCAAGGAGACCGCGGCGAGCGCGGGCAGGGTGCGGGGAAGGGCCGAGTGCGCGGACGGAGAGTTGCGGCCGGCCGGCGCGGGGGCTGCGGGGCAAGGGGCAGTTAGACAAGGGCACGCAGGCCCGAGGGGCCGGGGCGCCGGACAGCGCCAGGGGCTCCCGCCCGGAGGGGAGCAGGGCCCGGCGAGGACCGCCGGGGTCCTGGGCGTGGGGCTCTCGGGCCGCGGGAAGAGGCCTTGAGTGACAGGGGAGGGGTCGGGGCGAGCAGGGCGCGGACCGCGCGGGGGTGCGGGTTGCCGCGGGCACCCGGGCAGGGCGGGAGAAAGAGCGGGGCTGAGGCCGCGGGAGGAGAGGGGGGAGTGGGCAGGTGAGGAGGCCGGGCTGGGGCAGAGCCCGCCTGGAAGGGGACTGTCGGGGAGGGGAGCGGGAATGGACATCCTTTGCTCTGCGGCTGGAGGCGGGCGGGCTGGGGCGGGCTCTCCAGGGGATGCTCCTGCCGGTTGGCAGAGAGTTGGAGGAATTGCAGGCGCTTCCATTCAGCCATTCATTGAGGAAAGAGTGTGAAGTGGGGAGGAGGGGCGTTGGGGAGCGGGCGGTGGTGGGAAACTTCGGGTGGAACTTGCAGGGAGACGGGCTCTCCTGAAGGCAGGTGGAGATGTTCAGGCTCCTGAAACGTTGCAGTACAAGAGACAGCCTCTGAAGCTCCTGGAAACACCCCAGGAAACATCGAGGGCTTTTGTGGCCCCTCCCCACCTGCAGGGGAGTGATATTGGGGGGGGAGGGGTTGAGGGGGGCCATACCTGACTTTGCTCGGGGCTTACTTACTCCTGGCAGGTGTTGGAGACTTACCTGGGGTCCTGATCCAGCCCCGGTGGCTATGTGCAGGGCTGTCACCCTAGCCACTGTGCTAGCTTTTCAGCCCTGGAAGGAGTGGTTTGTCCGAGGCTGCTGCGTTTACAGTGGATCTCTGCTTCCCTGGCAAGGGTTGGAAGTGGAGGGGTGCGGCTGGGTAGTGCTGGGTAGCAGTTCGGGTCCTCTGCAAGTGGGAGCTGTCTGACAAGGTAGCAACTAGTGGGTCTTGCCAGGTACCCATATTTGTGGGTCCCTCTCCAGGCTGTCTGAGCAGGGACGTTCCCTTTCTCTTCAGCTTGCTCCATAAAGGGTTTTAGGGCATTTAGGGCAGAATGTGGCACTTGGGCTAACAAAAGAAGCACTAACCCAAGTGTCATCCCAGCTTGACACCTCATCTGAAGAGCGTATTTTGAGGTGCCTCCACCTCTATTTCTGGCCACCACCCAGTCTGATGTTGATCCGGAGCTCAGGCGAGGGGGAAGCCTGGGATGTTGACGGGAGGAGAGCACGGTGCTTTGCCAGCTTTGTGTGCCGCTGATGGGTTTTCCCATCTCCTGTCCTTGCTCCCCCTCCCAGAGGCATCCGAGCCTCTGTCGAGGTCTGTAGTTTTTGAGGCAGGACGGGCAGGGAAGGAGAGACCTTGAGAAGAGCTCTGAGTGAGTTTTGAAGTGAGAGCCTCCCTTTCCGTTCTTTGTTCTCTTGAAGTCTGCAGGGGAGCGATCCTCAGTTCTGGGGCTGCAGAGTCGGCCTGGCATCTGCAGCCTCTTCCTACCCAACCTGTGCCCTGTGTGTGCTTCTCTGGGCGGGGGGCCGGGGCTCTGAGGCATTCGTGTGTGGCTGCAGCGCTGCAGCGCCGAGGAGGGTGCGACTGAAGGTCACGCTGAGGTGAGCTCAGCTCCAGCCTTGGCCCAGCACTGTCTCTGTGGCCCTCTCCTCTTGTCGCTGCTGGTGCAGTTTGGCCCCCAAGGAACCAGGGAGAGGCAACCGGGTGTGCAGCTGTAAGGTCAACATCCTCTCAGCATCCTGTCAAGAACTGGCTGATGTCTCCCGGCTCTTTTTAGGGGAGATCGGTACCCACCCAGGATCTGAAGGTTGTCCCTGTTGATTTTTCTGACATTTCCTTAAACAGGGTTCTCCTTGATTTCTGAAAATTCTTGGATGTGATTATTATTTTATTTTTTTGCTGCTGCTGCTCTTGAAGATAAAAGGCTTATTGTTTTCGAGGAAGTTTCTTCTGAGGGTGCAGAAATTCTGGCCTCCAAGTTAGAAGTATTTTTCTGCACCGTCGGCTTTCTCTAATGGCAGGGGAGCATTGGTGACAGCATCCAATAACCTGCAGGATTTCCGTTATTTGAGTCGTTTTGGAGGAGGGAAGTTAGCAGGCAGTAAATACTTGGAGCCCATTTTGCTTTTCCTGTTACTTTCTGTGTGACGGCTTCCCTTTAGCATGTTTTTTCTCAGACCCCCTCTTAGTCCTTTTTCTGTATGGGGGACCCCAGTGGAATTAGAAAATAGTGGGTGGACTGTGTACCAGCCTGGAGCCAGGATCATGACAGGTGGACCCACAAATTCGAAATGCAGGAGGTTCTCTAGTGGGTGACGGCCCAGGGCTTGGGAATTGAGTTGCCCAGCTTGGGACCTGGTTCAGTTGCCTGACTCAACCGGGCCTTTTTTTCTCAGATCATGGGCCTTACAGCCTTGAGCGGAGGGGCTGGCTGCTGCTCTGTTACAAATGCAAGCCACCTAGAGAAGTACCACATGCCCTTGTACCTCTGTGGGGACTTTGCTTGCCAGGGCTTCTCTGTCACATTCCTGGTGGCACCACCAACAGTCAGTGGTCATTGAAATTAAAGAGGAAGAGGGACTGGAGGGATATTACAGTGGATAGGGCACTTTCCTTGCATGCAGCCCACCCAGGTTTGATCCTCCGCATCTCATGTGGCCTCAGAGCCTACCACGAATGATCCCTGAGTGCAGAGCCAGGAGTAAGCCCTGCGCACAACTGGAGACCAAAAGCCAAAAAGAAGAATAAAAGAGGAAGAGTGATGGTGATGGTGATGGGTTGGGGTGCTTTTGTTTGTTTGCAGGCAAGTGGAGCGCTGCCCTGTGCTCAGTGGTGCTCAGGGCTTACTCCTGGCTCTGTGCTCAGGGATCCCTCCTGGTAGTGCTCAGGGGATCATATGTGGTGTCTGGTATTTGAACCGGGCTTCACCTAACGCAGGCAAATACTATTACCCTGGTACTCTCTCTCCTGCCCCAGTTAGGGCGCTGCTAGACTGCTTCTGGGGGTCAGGGTCTAAGTTGAGTGTCCCCGCCCTGTGGCTTTATGGCAGGGGCTTACGTGTCATTCCCTGCCTGCACAGAGATCGCTGCTGTTTGCCTGTAAGGTGATTCATCCTTCTAGGAGCTTTACTCCTTCCTAGTCTTTCACCTTGAGAAAGGCTGTTGTTGGGAGGTTGTGTCCATAGAGATGTGAGTCACCCCCTGCTCTGACTTTCGGAGTCCAACCTCATCTTGGTTTCAGTGTTTGCAGGGCTCAGTCTTCCTGTGTTGGCCTGTGTCACTAGATTCATTGACAAGGTTTCTTCGTTTGTTTTCTTGGGGGGGGGGCACACTCGGTGGTGCTCAGGGCTTACTCCTGGCTCTGTGCACAGGGATCACTCCTAGCACAGCTGCGGGACCACATGGGGTGCCAGGGATGGAACTGATTGACTGTATTCAAGGCAGAGCCCCCGCCCTCCTGTGCTGTCTGCCCCTCCACGGCAGGTTTTTTGTTTGATTGTTTTGGGACCATACCCGGCTGTGCTCTGAGCTGCTGCTGCTCTGCACCCAGAGGTCACTGCTAGCATGTGTGAGGGGGCTCCATCAGGGACATAGGGTGCAGGGATTGGACCTGGGTCTGCCACACGCAGTGCAGGTCCCCGCCTGCTGTACGATAGTTTTCTTGAAGATATTCGTTGAGAAGATGACTCCAGCGTGAGACCTGGGAAATCTCTGGTGGTGAGGGGACAGGTGTGCATTGTGTCACAGGGCTCTAAACAGGATGCCAGAAGGGCACAGAGGGTCCCGGCCTCAAGGCACCGAGAGGGTCATTTTCTCCTGCAACAAAATGTTTGATACTATGTTGACACTCTGCTTTAAGAGCCAGGGAAGGTTTCAGAGCCTGAAGGTGATACTGTTTTCCTTCTCTTGCAGTCGTGTCATCCTGCCTGTGTCTGTGGACGAGGTAAGTCCCTTTCCTTTCTCTTTACCCATATCTTCCTATCATTGTCTGTGGCCATGGGCTGAGGTGGACTCTGAGTGGCCCCCAGTCGGGATTGTTTTTCTGTTTGCCCTGACAGCTCATCAGTCTGTGATGGAAGGCACCTACTTTGTGTATCTGGGCAGCTGGGCAGACTGCCTCGAGCTCTTGGCACAGGAGATGACTGAATGGAGATTAAAGCAGCCCCTTTTACCTTCTGGGCCCGTGCCTGTTCAGGACGTGTCACTTGGGGATTAAGTGCATGTGTTTCTGGCCCTCTGTGACTCTGCTGAGGAGTGGCTGAGGAGCATGCGTGGCTCTCTCTACTTGTGCAACAAACCAGCGGGACAGGAAGTCTCCATGGCCGGCCCCAGCCACATTCTGGGTGCTGTGGGGAAGACCGAGGCCCAGAAGCCTCCTTTTACGGAGGGCAGGGAGGAACAAATGGGCTTGGCTCGCCCGCGGTCCTTTTATGGTTCCTGAGCCCGACGTCCCCTGCCTGTGTACGGGTTTCTGGCACGATTTGCCACCAGAAGGTTCAGAGGCCATGCTGACTCAGAGTTGGTCTCTTAGAGAGCAGAAAGCTGTTGGTCTCCCAGGACCCACCCTTTCTCTGAACTTCCTTCCGTGTCCTCTCGCGGAGCCTTGTTCTTTGCTTCCTTCACCGTTGCCTGCCCACCCCTGCTCCCAGCTTCCACTCAAGCTTTGGTGTGGGGTGATGTCCGCCAGCCAGACAATGCCCTCAGACACTCCCTTCCCTGCACCATCAGCATGGAAGCTCCTGAAATAACTTACACTCCGGTCCCAACATGAAGTGGGCCTCTGAAAAGTGAAATCAGGCCAGCAAGAGCCTGCACGCTCTTTCTGTTTTATTTCCTTTTGGGGTTTTGTTCCACACCTGGCAGTGCTTGGGGGCTACTCCTGACTCAGTGTTCAGGGGTGCTTGGGGACCACAGGGGCTGGGGATTGAAACATGCTCCAGGCCTTTGAGCTATGTTGCTGGTCCCTGCAGCACACTCTCAGTGAGACAGTTCTCCCAGAACAGTGCTCCCCAGAGAGGGTGGGCAGGTATTAGTCCTGTAGAGGATCTTCTGATGCTGGTGGGCTGGACATCTAATAAGAGCTGTGGGGACGGCAGAGGGAACTATAGGTGAACCTCCAGCATGAGCAGGGAGCCCGGGAAAGGGGGATGAGAGAGAGGATCGAGGCTGGGAAGAAGGGATTGCTGGATTGCTGCTGGGATTGCTGCTGCTAGGGCATGAGAAGAGGAGCTGCTGCATGGAAACCACATGCTCGGGCTGACGACTGTGGTTTTGGGGAACTATGCTAACCCTTACCTTCCTAGGTGTGGGTTATCATTTGGGGAATTTTTCTATCATTTGGGGGATTTTTTTGGGGGGATGGTTGGACCAGTAGTGCTCAGGGAGCTATTCTTGGCTCTGTGTTTGGGGGTTATTCCTGGAAACCAGAGTTAGTAACATACAAAACAAATGCTTTAATTGCTGTTTTTTTCCTCTCTCCAGCCCTATCACCTGCCATCTTTTTTTCTCTTTTTTTTTTTTTTTTTGAGGTGGTGTGCTGCGGGGGTCACACCCAATTGTGCTCAGGACTTACTCCTGACTCTGCACTCAGGAATCACTCCTGGCAAGCTCAGGGGACCAGGAGAGCCAGAAATCAAACCTGGGCTGGCTGCATACAAGGCCAGCGCTCTGCCCACTGTACTGTATCTCCAGCCCCAAGTCTTGCTTTTGTTATGAAAATCCCAATGAAAGTCCTCTAAACCAGAACACCAAGCAGGAAGGCCTAGCACATCCTTAGCTTTGAAACGTCACTCCTGGGGGTCTGCTTGTTATAACCAGACTTCACTTAACCAAGTGTACCAAGACAGAGATTTGGTAGAAAAACAAGGAAGTCTTTCTTTACACCGGTCAGCTGGGCCGGAGACTATAGCCAGGCAAAGCACCTGAAGCTATTGGCCTGGGAATCAGGGGTTCCAAAAGCACTTGTATGGAGCATAAGTGAGGCATGTGACTTTTTAATCTATCATGAGACAGACAGTACAGTCACGGGCATTGAGTGCAGAAACAACATTGGGGTTACATCATGACATCACATGCAGAAATGACGTTGGGATTACAGCACAGCAAGAATATAAGATAAGGGTACCATCATGGTTGCATCAAGGGAAGCTGGGCAATATAGTTACCTGAAATTAGGGGATCTTAACAGCACGTACAAGTAAATTCTGAATCACACATTATATGATGACGCTGCTATGCAGGGCACCCCCCGACCCCAGTCAGGAAGATGTGTACCAGGAATTCAGGAATAGTTATTGGGTGATGTAGTATGTGTGGTGTCTAGGGGTGAATGGATTTGGAACAAGAGGGTGGTGGTGGTTGGATCCTTCCCAGTGGTGCCCAGGGCTGACTCTTGGCTCTTCTCTCAGAATACTCCTTGGAGACCATATGGGATGCTAGGGATTGAACCTGAATTGGGCCCCCAGATGGATCTTTTTATAGGGTCTGCCTCCCTCCCTACCTCTCCTCTTACTCTCTCCCTCCCTTCCTTTTTATTTGACACTGATTTACCAACATTTTGACAATAGGGTTCCAGGCATGCAATATTCCAACTCTAACCCTGCTGCTAGTGATCATATTCCTCCACCAAAGACCCCAGATTCCCACCTACCAGCAACCTGCCTCCTTGACAGACACACATTTTTTTTTTTCTTTTTGGGTCACACCCAGCGATGCACAGGGGTTACTCTTGGCTCCGCACTCGGGAATTACTCCTGACAGTGCTTGGGGGACCATACAGGATGCTGGGAATCGAACCTGGGTCCACCACTTGAAAGGCAAACGCCCTACCTGCAGTGCTATCACTCCTGCCCTGACACGTTTTGTTTGATTGTTCCTTTGTTTTGGGGTCACACCCAGTGGTGCCCGGGGCTTACTCCTGGCTCTGTGCTTAGGTATCCTGGTGGTGCTGGGGATCAAACCTGGGCTGCGTGTAAGGCAAGTGCCTTACCCATTGGACTATTGCTCTGGCCCCAACAGACACATTTTTAAGTTTTGATTATTGTAATTTGGATCCCATGCTGCCAGTGGTGTTGGTGTTAGTGGTTAAGAGACGCAGAGGTATACCTCAGCGCTACATAGCGACAGCTCCAGGCCCCTGGCCCTTGCCCCCGTGTTGTCTTCCTGCTTGCCCCCTCCATTTCTCTGCATCTCTGGTGGCTTCATTTCCTTAATTTTAGCACCAATGCCTTTCCCAATCTAGGGAGTTTCTTTGGGTGCTGAAGGGTAGGGATGTCTTTGCGAAGTGCTGGGAACCCTTTTCCAGCACTCAGAGTCCGGCACTGTCCCGAGTTCCCCTTTGGCTGTTCTCTAGTTCAGGCTGAGCAGCAGCAAATGCTGATGATTTACTCCGGTGAAACTGTCATTTCCACTGACGAAGGAAAAGGGGAACTCGTCGGGAGAGCTCAGCAATGGGGAGTTTTTTTGGTTGTGATTTTTCCTTCCCCCAAGTATTGAGGAAGGAATGGGGTGGGGCTAATAGAACTGAAAGTCTAAGCAAACACTTGGGAAGTGAATGCCAGTTAGAATCCATTTAACCCTTTTGCAACCAGAAACTGCTGATGAGAAAGTGCATGGCTTGGGTATGGTTGAAGTAGAAGCTTCTCTTTTGATAGCTTGAACCTTAAGATATCCAGAAGAACTGAAAATATTACTTTTCATTCATTCATTCATTCATTCATTCATTTTCTTTCGAGCCCCAGGCTTTGTGCTCTGTACTCAGGGGTCACTCTTGATGGGGTTCTGAGAACCATATGTGGTACTGGGTTGCCCACATGGAAGGCAAGCACCCTACCCGCCGAATTCTCTCTCCAGCTCCATGAAAATCTTATTTTTAAATTTATCTCAGTTTGGGGGCCTTACTGGTTCTTAGGGGTCACTCTGTGGGTTGCTTAGTGGACCATGCGATGCTGGGTGGACCTGGTCCTCCGCATACAGAGCATGTGCTCCAGCGCTTTGAGCTGCCTCTCCAGCCCAAGATCAGAAATGACAAGTGATGATCGACCGTCTCAGAGCCTGTCAGTAACCCCATCCTGACTCCTTGTTCGCATGGGAACAGCTTGGTACCTGAGGCGCGGTGGGTTTCACTTCCTAGCTGAAAGTCATGATTTGAGGCTCCTGAGAGCTTTCTGGGCCATATCCAGTCCTCACACAGATGTATGGGGAGAAGTATCTAGCTTTCCCACCTGCTGGCCTGAATCAGAGTTCTGGGGGCGACCCAAGTGCCAAGTAGCCAGTTTTTGGCCTGACTCTGCCATTGTCGTGAGCCTCCTGCAGCAGAGCGCAAGCTTGACTATTGACGAATGGCTGCATCCACTTGTGTCCTGACTCAGGGAGGCTCACATTTTCCTCTGCCCTCTGTTGTGGGTGGGCAGTTCCCTCGATGCCGGGAGGTACCAAGTACTGGGCTGCCAGGAACATGTGGGTGGGACTGACTGCACCTATTTGGTGCCAGTGCTTGTTCCTTCCTCTTTGTTTTGTTTTGTGCTCACCCAGTGGCTCCATGTATGCCCCCAAAGCCAGATGCGCTAGCACAGTGCTCAGGAGTGACGCCTGATGGTGCTGGGGATTCAAGTCAGACCCCCCCTCACACAGAGTAGATATTCCAGCCCTCTGGGCCATCTCCTTGGCCCCTGGGGGGACCTCCTGGGGATTTTATTCGGGGCCGGGGTACGGGGACAGTGCACACGGCATGCTGGTAGACCATTCAATTCTGGGCATTGAACCTGGGGCTTTTGCTTGCAAAGCCTGAGCACCAGGCCCCTGAACTTCTCACTGTCCCCATGGATCAGCATTTCAAGTCCACAGCCACATCTTTCTGGTCCCCCAGTCCCAGCTCGCCGAAGTATTGGAACCACACCTGGCCCAGCTCAGGACTTACTCCTAGTTTTGCACATGGGTTATTCTGGGAGAACACATGGGGTACTGGGGATTCAACCTATGTTGGCCATATCCAAGGCAAGCCCTCTCCCCACTGTACTATCTCTGAGTCTATTTTTCTTTTCTTGTTTCTTTTGGGCCATATCCAGTCCTGCTCAGGGCTCACTCCTGGCTCTGTGCTTACTCTTGGTGAGGCTCAGGGACCATACTTAGTGCCAGGGATCAGACTTGGGTCAGCCGTGTGCAAGGCAAGTGCCCTACCCTCTGTACATCTCCAGCCCCTAGAGTCTGTCTTTCTTAGCTGAATGCCTTGCTCTCCAGAAAAGGGAGCAGATCTCAAGGGTGGGGAATCATTGTCTGATTTCTGTGGAGGCTGGAATCCACTCATATCAGGGCCCTCTGGTGGAATATTCTCACCTCTATTATTTTTCTGTTTGCTTCTTCGTTTTGTTTTTGTTTTTTTTGGGTCATACCCGGCGATGCACAGGGGTTACTCCTGGCTCTGCACTCAGGAATTACTCCTGGTGCTCAGGGGACCATATGAGATGCTAGGAATCGAACCCAGGTCTGCCCCGTGCAAAGCAAATGCCTTACCCGCTGTGCTATCGCTCCAGCCCCTCTCACCTCCACTATTCCCCAGCCCTTCTGAGTCCTCAGCTCCTTTGCCTTCCGGGCTGCAGAGCCTTTAAGACATGGGGAACCCTCTGACAGGACGTGTCCCTCACTTTCGACTTGAGGAGGCCAGCCTTACTTACTCTTTTGGATTAACAAAGCTGCCTTCACTTGTCTCTTTGGAATTAAAGGATCAGAATATCAAGAGAGATTAGAGGGTGAAGATGCCAGCCCGACCACTGATCCTCTTAGAGCTTGCCCTCTGATTCCTGGCTGCTGGAGAGGAAACAAATGACAGGGATTAGTTTCTGCCTGGGGGCCCCTTCCCCGGGCCCTGTCACCCCCGGAAACCCTGTCCCCTGCACCAAGCGCTTTCCCCCACCTGCCCCTCAGGATTGCTGAGTCAGTGGTTAGGTGCTGTCGGGCTCCTCTGAAGCAGTGACTGAGCTTTGTCAGGAGCTCCTGACTCGCCCCAAACCTGACCCACTAGAGGGGTTTTCACATGAGCCTCAGCTGGGGGTTACTCTTGGAGAGGCACAGGAGCAGCTTGAGGTTCCACAGGGCCACTAAGGTAGCACTGATGGTGCTTGGGATTAGCAAGGTCAAGGTGACTGGCTCTCATCCAGCTGTTCCTCTTTCTGGGATTAACTGAGCCTTGGTCACTCGCCTAGGCCTTTCCCTGGCTGTTTTTGTTTGTCTGTTTGGGGGAACACCCCTAAACGGTGTTGGGTAAGTGGGGGGGGGGGCATCCAAGGCCACCACATGCCACACATACTCCAGCCTCTTTGCTATTTTCCTGTTCCCCTTGGCATTTTATACTGGGTGTTTGCTTTGGAAGTTGATTCTTTGAGAATCATGAACTGAGTTGTCACGTTCTGCTACCTTCCAGATTTTGCCCAGGAATTTCCCTATGTATTTAGGAGGCTGCCTGGTAGAGCAGGCTTTGAGGTTTGAGAGGAGAAAGTCCTGGAAGCTGCCTCTGCTCCCCGCTGGTGTGGGCAGTGGTGTAAGTGGCAGCTGCCCAGAACGCAGTTTCTCTGCTCTTCAGAAGGGAACCATGTCTGTTGCTCCTGGGAGAACAGACTGGAGAAAAGGCTAGGGGTGAGGAGACTTTTATCTACCCTCAACATGTAACTTCGGAAATCGACTACCTTTCTCATCATTGGTAGTGATTGGGAGGGCAAAACTCCCTGCGCTCTCTGTTTCTTTCCATTCTTCATGTTCATTTTTCCTCTGGACAACTTCCCACGGAGAGGAGGCAGCAGAAGGGCCAGGCCTGGGTGCTGGCCAAATCCCTGGCCCTTGCACTGAGTTGTCCCGAGAGGTCAGAGGAGGCCAGTGATCTTGACTGGTGACTTGATAGGGTGGCATGTGACCCAAATAAAAGAAAACCAGGCTTCTGCCATCTAGTAAGCGCCAGCAGCAAGGGTGCTCCCCGCCAGCACAGTGTGGGCTCAGCACCCATGTTCTCTGACACGGGAATAGCACTTGCTTCAGTCCCACAAGGGATCTGGGAAGCACCTGTCAGGTGGGTGTCCATCCAGGGGGCTTCTGAGCTGCTGGCAGGGAGAGAACAGGTCCAGCACTTGAGAAGGAGCTGTACGATGGACCAGTTTTATAGCCGAGGCTGTGAGATTTGCAGAGCACAGGAAGATTTTCTTTTGCAAGAAGTCTTGCTGGAGCCATAGTATAGCAGGTAGGGCATTTGCCATGCACATGGCTGGCCCAAGTTCAGTGCACAGTATCCCATATGGTCCCCTGAGCACCGGCAGGAGTGATTTCTGAGTGCAGAGCCAGGAGCAACTCCTGTGCATTGCTGGGTGTGGCCCCCCAAAAAATGAAAGAACCCAAAAGACAAAAATAAATAAATAAATAAAATTAGGCCTTAGGATCTCTTCAAAGGTAGGATAAATAGACTTCTAGCAAGCAACCCAGGCTTTGTTTGGGGGTCTTAATACCAGAGGCAAATCCAGGGTGAAAGCTATGGTAAAGTCTGTAATCCATTTTTGGGAAGGGTAGGAGTGGGATGGGGTGGAGTGGAATACCTCCTTAAGCTGGGACAATGAGAAGCAGGTGAAATGAAACAAACTGGGGTGGGGAAGGGAGCATGGAGCAGCATCCTCAGTTGCTCTGGGTGGACCTTACCCAGGTCTCCTTGTGAAACCTTAAAATAAAGTCCCAGGCAAGGGCAATCCCAGAGTGATCTCACAGGGTAGTTAGCAGCAGCTCAATGGCATCTAACTGTCGAGAAGATTCTGTGTTAATGATAACTCATTCTCTCTGTTCCTCTAGTATCAAGTAGGGCAGCTATATTCTGTGGCTGAGGCCAGCAAAAATGAAACAGGCGGTGGTGAAGGCGTGGAGGTCCTAGTGAATGAACCTTATGAGAAGGACGGTGAGAAAGGCCAGTACACACACAAGATCTACCACTTACAGAGGTATGTGACCGAGCAGCAGAGCCACGGGGCTGGCTGGTTCCGAAGCAGAGATAATGGATAATTGGGGTGTTTTTGAGTATTAGGAGGTTGCTCAAGTTGTTTCACCTGTGGGAGTAGGCTTGGTGCCTGTTTCCTTATTTAAAGTTTTTTTTTTTTTGCTTTTTGGGTCACACCCAGCTGATGCTCAGGGGTTACTCCTGGCTCTGCACTCAGGAATCACTCCTGGCGGTGCTTGGGGGACCACATATGGGGTGCTGGGAATCGAATCCAGGTCAGCCACATGCAAGGCAAACGCCCCTCCCGCTGTGCTTTTGCTCCAGCTCCTTAAAGGTATTTTTTAAGTGGAATATTTGCTCACTAGACTCCAGTCCCTGGGAGTGGTAGAGTTTAGTGTCTTGTGGGTTCTTCGGTGGTCTTAGTATCGGAGCAGAGCGGATGTGTGAATTTTCTTTATCATTGGCTTACGTTGATGGCATCATACAGACTATTTTTTCTTTTTTCCCTTTTTGGGTCACACCCAGCGATGCACAGGAGTATTCCTGGTCTTACACTCGGGAATTACTCCTTGTGGTGCTCAGGGGACCATATGGGATGCTGGAAACCGAACCGGGTCGGCCATGTGCAAGGCAAATGCCCTACCCACTGTGCTATTGCTCCAGCCCCGTACAGACTATTCTTGACTTAGCTCTTTTGTTACCATTATAGCTGTCTCTCACTCTCAGCATGTTTGACCTCATTCTTTTGAAGCACACATAGCATTGTGTTGTGCTGATTGATGTGCTGGGAGCTGTTTAGATGGAAGTTTATAATAGCTTCCAGAAATTTGTATGCTGGAATTCATAAACTGCCGTCTGCACACATATATATATTTTTTTGCTTGTTTGTTTTGGGGCCACACCCAGCAGTGTTCAGGGTTTACTCTCCTGGCTTCGTCATCAGGAATTACCTTGACAGTGCTCGGGAGACCATATGGGATGCTGGGGATTGAACATGAGCTGGCTGCATGCAAGGCAAACACCTTACCTGTTGTACTGTGTCCCCAGCCCCTGCTCACATCTTTGATATACTCATGCATATTCACTCATGTGGATCTACAAAAATGTACCTAAAAGTGGAGTTGCTGGATCAGGTATTATGAAATCAGTTACTTGAGAAATTCTGGCATCTCTTTTGATTCAGGACATAAAAGTTTAAGAGTAAAACTTGTGGGCTGGAGATCTGGTTCACTGTAGTACATATGTGACATTTTGGCTTTGATCCCTGGTAATGAAGAAAAAAAAAGGAACACACTGATTTGTGTGCCTAAAATCTATAGCAAAACACGTAAGTTTATTGAATCTCCAACCAAAACAGTAATTTTTCAGTAAACTATGGGCTGACCCGTGGGAGATTGCGAGCCCTGATACATATAAATAGCTATGACTAGAAGTTGAAGCCAACTACTTTTATAAACTATCCAAAACTGAGAACTAGGAAAAATAAACCTGATTTTTTAAAAATAGTGATAAAATATACATCACACAAAGGTCACCATTTCTGCCATTTTGAAGTGTTCAGCATTAAGTACATCCACATTGCTCTGACATATAAACTTGAATCTTCTCTTTGAGTCTCTAGAATCGCATTGAAACCAGTTATATTTTCATTTGGTAAAATCCCTAGTTTAAAGTGCTCTCGCAGGGGCTGGAGCAACAGTATAACGGATAGTTTGCCTTCCATGTGGCCGACCCGGGTTCGATACCCAGTATCCATATGGTCCCCTGAACACTGCCAGGAGTAATTCTTGAGTGCATGAGCCAGGAGTACCCCCTGTGCATTGCTGGATGTGACCCACAAAGCAAAATGAATAAATAAATAAAGTGCTCCGCCAATCTGAAGATATAAATGTGTTGGCAGAGAGGCTGGAGGGTGGTGTGAGTGCTGAGCGACCAGGAGAGGTCACAACGCTGAGCACCGCTGGTCGGAGCCTGCCCGTCTCCTTGTCCATACACTCTCCTTCGTGTTCTCTCCTCCAGCTCCTTGCCTGTGCACTTTCCTCCGTGTTCTCTCCTCCGTGTTCTCTCCTCCGTGTTCTCTCCTCCGTCTCCTTACCCGTGTTCTCTCCTTTTCCTCCTTGTTCGTGCGCTTTCCTCCATGTTCTCTCTCTGTGCTTCCTTTGTCATCTTCTCTCTGTACTCTGACTCAGCTGCCCAGCCACCCACAGTCACAGTGGGTTAGAATAGGGCTCCAGACATGCTCTCCCCACAGTGTATTGTTGGTTTGGGGGCCACAAGCGGCTGATTTCTGGGACCTCAGGTGGTGCCAGGGCTCGAACCCAGATTGACCACTTGCAAGGCAAGCACCATACTCATTTGTACTCTCTCTCAGTACCTGTATCTGTGATTTTCTGTTGTTCCAGCAGTTCTCTTGGCTTCCTCCTTGCTCTGTGCTCAGGGATCACTGGTGGTGGACTGAAGTGCCAAAGATGAAACTTGGGATGGGCTAGAGCGATAGCACAGCGGGTAGGGCGTTTGACTTGCACACGTCTGATCCGGGTTCTAATCCCAGTATCCTCTATGGTCCCCTGAGTACTGCCAGGAGTAATTCCTGAGTACAGAGCCAGGAATGGCCCCTGTGCATCACCGGGTGTGACCCAAAGAGAAAAAAAAAAACCAAAAAAACAAAGATGGAACTTGGGTCAGCCGTGTGCAAGGCAGGCGCCCTACCTGCTGTACTATATTTTCAGCCCCTAGTCCTCAAGTTTTTTTCAAGTCATCTTGATCAGTGATTATCAGGACAGACCAGATTCCCGGTGATGATAGTTCTGAAAGAAAGAAGGCAAGTTCAGTGGTAGGGCATTTGCCTTGCATGCAGTGGACCTAGGTTCTATCCCCGGCATCCCATATGGTCTCCTGAGCACCACCAGGAGCAATTCCTGAGTGCAAAGCCAAGAGTAACACCCCTGAGCACTGCCAGGTATGGCCCAAAAGCAAAAAATAAATAGAACAGAAATAGGTTCATTATATATCAGCCATTCTGTAATAAGAAATTCTATAATTAAGGAAATAAAAATACTTCAAATTTTCATCCAGAAAATTGAAGAGAATGTTTTTTCTGGGAGCAAGATGCCCTTCGATGCTCCTGAGCTCCCAGCATTGACAAAAACAGACCAGATCATTTTGGATCTCATATTCAAAGTTATTCCACGAGTACCTTGAGTGCATGAACCAGCACAGGTGTTCTTGAGATTCTAATGTGTGCAGTGCGTAGTGGAATGCCCTGGGCCGGTGTGAGCTCTGGAAAAATGTGTAATGATAATGTAATGACTGATGGGCTGTCCCATTCCTGGTGTGGGTGGATAATAGTAGCCAGCTCAGCTAGAGGGTCAGGCTCTAATGGGTGGCAACTCAGATGTAAGAGTCATCTGTTTACCTCATGGAGACTTGCCTGTCAACTCCCCATTGAAGACGCATAAGCTGAGGCCTGAGGAATGTGATGTGTAAGGCCACTGTCTTCTAATTGTTTCTTCTCTCTTCCATAGCAAAGTCCCCACATTTGTTCGAATGCTGGCCCCAGAGGGAGCCTTGAATATCCATGAAAAAGCATGGAATGCCTATCCTTACTGCAGAACTGGTGAGTGTGGGCCTTACTGAAGCTTGAGTTTATTTGGGCTCCAAAGCAGACAGAGGGTGTGGCCAAGTAGACCTACAGGTAGGGCTGTATTGAGGTTTTGTGTTCCATCTTCATTTTCCAGTGAGCGGTTAGAGGATGAGCTTGGGGGTACCCCCCTCTAGGAAATTAGGGTCACTGTTGTCTAGTAAAGTTTGGTAGCCAACCAGGTGGGCACCACAATGTGGACACGGCAGGAGATCGTGTAGAAACCACCCCTTTGGGCTAGAGAGATAGGACAGGGCTTAAGGCACTTGCTTTGCAGATGCCAACTCTGGTTTGAATTGTGACTCCACATATGGTTGCCCAAGCCCTGAGCACAGAACCAGGAATTGCCCCTGAGCCCTTGTCAGGTGGTCCATCCTGCCATCCCTAAAGAAAAAAAACAAAGAACAAAAAAACACTCTCTTCTTTGGGGATATCTTACCTGTATGATAATTTTTATTGTTTGTGCTTGATTATAAAAGTCATGTTCTTGGTCTAGAGAGGTGTCTCTGATGGTAGGAGCTGTGTTTGTATGTGGGCGCCCTGGGTTTGCGTCTCAGTACCACACGACCCACTACCCACATTGCCAAGTATGGCCCCTTCTCACCTCTCTCCAGAATATAACAAAAATGTTTTTCTATAGGAATTTTGAAAATACAAACAGAAGAAAATGGCAATCTATATCTCTTCCACATATGATAGTTACTGTTAACAGTCCAGTGGTTTTTTTAATTTTTTAATGTTAGTGTTTTTTTAGTACCATACACACATATAATCTCCAGACACATTTTCTAGATATATTTCACATTGTATCATTCTAATTATTAAATTGCTAAATAGGGTCGGAGCAATAGTATAGCGGGGAGGGTGTTTGCTTTGCACGCAGACAAGCTGGGTTCAATCCCCAGCATCCCATATGATCCCCTGAGCACTGCCAGGAGTAATTTCTAAGTGCAGAGCCAGGAGCAACTCTCCTGAGCATTGCCAGGTGTGACCCAAACAAGAAAAAAAAATGCTAAATAGCTTAAAGATAGATACCTTTCCCTGTTACTATGTAGCCTGCTTTTTTTTTTTTTTTTTGCAGTGCCAGGGATCAAACCAAAACCTCATAGCCTCACACATACAAGGCAAATGCTCTATCTTAAGCCACATTCCTGACCACTGAGCAATATCCCTGACCCTAATCAACTTTTATTTTGTTTTGTTTGGGGAATATACCCAGTGGTGCTCAGGGCTTATTCCTGGCTCTGCTCAGGGACCATTGCTGGCATTGCTTAGAAGACCATATGTGTTGCCAGAGATAAAACCCAGGTTCACTGTATGCAAGACAAGCGCCCTACCTGCTATACTGTCACTCTAGCCCCTCTTATCAAGTCCTTTATTTAAATAGGAAAGTCTACAGGAATAGTAATGGTTGCATAGTATTTCACCAGCTGAAGATATCGTGATACTATTATTACTGTCATCTGTCTATGTTTTTAGTCTCACAAACACCAGCAGAATTGATTCCTGAGTGCAGAGCCAGTAGTAACCTCTGAATATTGCCATATGTGGCTCAAAAACCAAAACAAATCCAAAAAAACCAACAAACCATTTCCTTATTGTTTGATAGTAAAATTTCCAGCATTTTTGTTTGTTTACAGTGCTGGGGATTGAACCCAGGGCCTCACACATACAGGCAGGTGCTTTTATCACTGAGTTACAATCCCAGACCTGAAATTTCCGGTTTTTTGTTTGGTGTTTGGGTCATACTCAGCACTGCTTGAGGGTCCCTCCAGAAGTGCTCAGAAGGACCATGTAGACCATATAGTGCTGGGGATAAAACCCAGCACGCAAAGCATGAACTCCAGCCCTCTGAGCTCTTTCCCAGCTCTGAAATTTCTCATTTTAATATGGCATGTTTGTATTTGGCTTGAAAAATTATATTGGCTGGGCATTTAGCTGAGTGGTAGGGCATGTGCTTTGCACGAATGTGGCCCTGGGTTCAAAACAAAAAACAAACAGCAGTGTTGAGGCCCATGGATTTGTTGTGTGTTGGGAGGAGGGGGGACGGCGGGCGGGATTTTTTGGGCTACACCCAAGTGATGCTCAGGGTTTACTCCCGGTAATCTGGGGGGATTACAGGGGGGTGCTGGAGATCGAACTCCAGATGGGCTGTGTGCAATCCCACCCTCTTGTGCTATCTCTCCAGCCCCAAGGTCCGTGGACTTTTAAGACTTGAAAAAGTTGTAGGAAAGAGCCTGTAGGGGAACCTTTTTGCCCTGGGGAAGACCAGGCCTAGACACCAAGAAAATAGCAAAGGAAAGACTAAAGTGGTTAGGGGTCTGGGAATGTCCCAGTAGAGCACTTACCTTGTGTATGTGAGGCCTGAAATTTGATCCCTACCAACTGAAAAAAAAGAAAAAAGTAGAAATAAGACCTGTTTTGTTTGTTTGCTTATTTGGGGGCCATATCCAGCAATGCCCAGCCAGGGCTTAGTCCTGCCTGTGCTCAGGGATCACTCCTGGTGAGGCTTGGGGAACCATATAGGTTGCTGGGGGTCAAACTCAGGTAAGCTAAGTGCAAGGCAAGGGCCCCTGCCCATTGTAATCTCTCTCCAGACCCCCATTTTTTTCTTTTCTTTTTTTGCTAAAGGACTTAGAAGTAGTTTTCCTAAGTGCTATCTAACACATGGAGTATGCATGCTGGATTTGGGAGGTTAAGGTCAAGGCGGGTCACTGCTAAAAGCTCTGAACTGGTAATAACCCTAAACCAGCTTGGTGTTGGTGTCTTTTTGGTTTTGATTTTGGGGCCACACTTGGCAGTTCTCAGGGCTTACTTCTGGCTCTGCGCTCCGAGATCACTCCTAAAAGGGCTTGGGGAACTGTATACAGAGCCAGGGATTGAATCCAGGTTGGCTGTGTTCAAGACAAAACACCCTACCTGCTGTACTGTCTATCCGGCATGTTTTATAGTTGAGATGGAAATAGAGCGAAAATCACCTTCTTAATACTGGCCAGTCTCCTATCTTTGTTTCCGAAATAGACAGAACTGAATCTTCACAGAGAACTTGCTGTTCTCAATTTTCTGGAATTCACTTTGACTATTTCAGAAATCCTGACTCCTAAGTGCCATCTAGTTCTAGGCCATCTAACCTAGAACTCTTTGGTAATGATCTGCATGCTAAGAACTGGAAGTTCCCTGGAACTTACCTGTGTGGTGAGCGGCCTTTCCCCCAGCCAACTTACCTTTGTTGGCACAGTCATTCTGGTTTCTGGGTTCTGGGTTCTCCTGTCAGCCTCAGCTTGTGGGCCCTGGTACTCCCTATATTGAATAGAACAACGATACCCCACTTTGGTGACCCTTATCCTGTGGAGATCAGAAATGATTGAAGCTTAGCACACAGAGTCATTGCTCTCACCTGTTCTCAGTGATCTTACATTGATTCAGGATACCGGTATCAGAGCTGAGCAGTCATTGATGGGACCTGAGATGTGTGACATTGTAGTTTTATTGCTGTATGCTCACATTTTCTTAAAAGAATGCCCTGTGAGCCAGAGTAGCCAAGATATTCTGCAGTGGTTAAGGGACTTGCTTTGCATAGGGCTACAGCTGAGACAATGGTTCGAATCCTGGCATTGCATAAAGTCCTCCTGGAGCTCTACTAGGTGTGGCCCAAGCACAGATCCAGGTGTGGTCCCTGAGCAATGCTGGGTGTGACCCAAAAGGGGGGTCTGGGGAGATCATACACCTCCACTGGGTGTGTCTGGTCTAGGGCCAAAGGTGAATTTTCCTGTTGTCTAAGAGAATTGCAGAAATGGGCAGGAGTGATGAGAAACTGACCTGACTTGGCATCAAGGAGGCAAACAGATAGCCGGGACGCTTCCATGCCTTGAGCAGGGTTCTGGGTACACAGCTTGTGTCAACCAAGGGGCAAACCCTCAGTCTCTGTAATTCTTTGGAGTGTTTTTCAGCTAACATGAGCATTTTTCTATATACCAAATATTCAGCCACATATTTTCCTAATCCTTGGACAAAAAGGGAGGGAAAAAAAGTAATTTCTAACTACTTTATAAATAGGAAAGCCAAGAAGTTGCAGGAAGAGAAGATTGGTCTCTTTAGTGGTTGCAGAATGCAGTTAGGATCCACTCTCTAAAGGAATAGAGATATATCTTAGATCTGGTCAGCTAGATATTTGGCCTTCTAAAATAAAATGTACCCTTGGAATCAGAGATAGTAGAGTGAGCAGGGCACTTGCCTTGCACATTACAGACCCAGCTTCAATCCCCAGCACCACATATGGTCCCCTGAGGCCCATCAGGAGTGATCCCTGACAATGGTGATGGGGTTGATACTGGAAAAATCATATACCTGAAACCCATCTATGAATAACTTTGTAAATCACGATGCCTCAATAAAAAAGAATTTTTTAATTAAAATAAAATATATCCTAGCCAGGAAACTAGCTCAGCAGTAGAGTACTTACTTACCTTAGATGTATGAAGCCCTGGGTTCAATCCCAGCACCACAAAAAATAAAAGTAGGAGGTCAGAGCAATATACAACTTAGCCATATATGCTGCCCACCAGGTTCAAACCTCAGCACCCTATATAGTCCCCTGAGTACCACCAGGGTTGTCCCTGAGTATGGAGCCAGGAGTACCCCTGAAAACCATTGGGTATGGCCCCCAAACTGGCAATAAACAAACAGATAAATGAATAACAAAAAACTCGGGATTAGGAGGAAAGGTCTCAGTAGGGTAATTAAGCATCAGCCTTGCATGCTGGAGACCCCGTTCAGTTCCTTGTACCACATGTCCAAAGCCCACCCATCTCCTATCCCCACTTTCAGCACCTCTGGGAGGCATTGGGGCCCGCTACCACTGCCAGACCTGAATAACCCTTTATCATAAGATTATTCAACTATTCAACTCTCAGGCCCACATCACTGGACCAGATATTGCTGGGAATGATCCCAGGCACAACTGACTAGACCCTCCCAAAAAATAAGAGATAAGGAAAGGTATTTTTTCGCACCCTTCTCCCCAGAGTTCATGGGAGAAGGGTTATTAACTTAAACTTTTTAGCTTGGCCTAAGTAGATCAAAGTTTGAGGTGAGCTAGAGAAATGTGGAACAACCTCCATACCTTTGGGAAGGCTCTAACCCTGTTTTGAAGTGAACAAAATGAACTTTAAATACTCCACTCCTCATCAGCCCTTTCTGTCATCTCATTTTGTTTCTCTCTGTCTCATCCCACCTGGGTGAGGAGAGCAAATTAATGTTTCCCTCTCTAACTTAAACCCCCAGCCAAATATAATCCTCACAAGCCATGGTTTTTTAGGCCCTTTCGTCTCACTGAAGAACCCTTTTCTCCAGCTGCATAAGTTTCCTGGGATTTTTGCAGTGTGGGTACGGTTACCATTTGAAGCTCGCTGTGCTGTGAGTGCACTAGAAGAGCAGGAAGGGCTGGAAAGAGTGGGGACGATTATTTGCCCACCAAATGGCATTAAAGGTCAGGAAGGGGCATCAGTTTATAAAAACTGAGGGGATCTACTTCCAGAATCTCACAAAGACCAATAGAAACCCTAGTGTTTATATATAGTTACAATAATGAAATACAGAATTTACTGAGCCAGGAATGTGGTCCAAATGGCAGAGCATATGCAGAGTATATGAAGTCCTGGATTTGCTCCCTGGCACCCCAAGTACCCACCAGGTGTGGCCATAATATCAACAATAAAAACAGAAGAAGATCACTAATGAAACTAGATATGCCTGTTTTCTGATTAAGGCATTGCTTTTTTGGTGGACACTTCTACATGGGAAACCGTACAATCATAATGTTGATTTGTGGGTGGTGATCTAGCTCCCAGGGCTGGAGAAGACGGGGTTTGATCCCAGTACCATGTGGTTACCCAAGCACTGCTGGGAGCCACCCCTGGGCAGTGAGCCAAAAATACCCACCGAGGACTATGGGAGATGACGACAAAAACGAAAAGCTAGTATGTAGTGAAAAATGTCCACTTTCTCAAATGATAACATTCTTGGGTCCATTGATCAGTACTTTATGTCCTTCAGAAGCCAAAATAGAAGAAGGTTACTTCAGGGCTGGAGCAATAGCACAGTGGGTAGGGCAGTCCCCATATGAACCCTGAGCACCGCCAGGAGTGATTCCTGAGTACAGAGCTAGGAGTAAGCACTGAGCATCTCTGAAACCGAAAAATTTAAAAAGGTTGCTTGGAGAACATGGGCTCAAAATCAGGAGGCTTGTTGCAGCTTAATGCCTAGGGTCATCGGACCTGGCCCTTTCTGCTCCAGGCTCCCTGCAGCACCCAAGGCCCCCATTCCCTGAACAGCACTGAAGATTTCCTGCCAAATGGCCTCCTGGGACTTGTGGTAGTGGATAGTATACCCTCTGTGTGTGTGTGTGTGTGTGTGTGTGGTTTTGTATGCTTATAATTATCATTTTCTATGTGTGTGTATCATTAACGTGTGTGTACCTATCATATCTGTGTGTACCTACCATTTTCGTGTGTATGCATACCTATTATTTTCATGTGTACCTATGACTTCCATGGATGTGTACCTATCATTTCCGTGTATGTATAGCTATCATTTTCTTGTATGTATACTTCCATGTGTGTGCACCTAACATTTCCATGTGTGTACGTATCATTTCCGTGTGTGTAACTATAATTTCCATGTATGTGTGGCTATAATTGCTGTGTGTGTGCCTGTCATGTGTGTGTACCTGTCATTTCTTTGTATGTGCGTGCACTTATCATTTCCATGTGTACATGTGTGTACTTATCATTTCTGTTTGTGTGTTTAGTTATTTTCATTCAGGTATATGTATACCTAGCATTTCTCTGTGTGTGTGTACCTATCATTTCCACATGTATGAACCTATCACTTCCGTGCATGCACACTTGTGCTTTGTGTGTGTGTGTGTGTGTGTGTGTGTGGTTTTTCTGCCACTCCAGCAGTGATCAGAGGCTATTCCCTGTTCTATGTTCAGGAGTCAGGCATATGAGACTTGGGAGACAAGCGATGGCAGGGATATGAAGACTTCCCTGACCTCCTGTATACAAAGCATGTCCTCAGCCTGTTGAACTGTCTGCCCAGTCCTCAGGATTTTCCTTTTACTAACTTAATTTTCATTGAGCTGATCAACAGGTGAATTGTTTCAGTGTGGGCCTTTTAGTCTTAATCTAATACTGTCTTGCAAGGATCTTTCTTTCACTGAATTAAGGGAAATTACTCATGATCTCTTTATTTCTGTACCTGGTACTTCCATTTCAGAGTTAGATATCTTAACTTCAGTTCTAGAGTTAACAGAATTTAACTATTAGCACCAAATAACAACTGTCCAAACGTGGCAGTGTGACTTCCATTAGAAACCAAGATAACTCCTAATTTCAGAGGGTACAGAATGAACTGGGCTGCTTTCAGGAGAGGTAGCTGGTTGTGCAGTGACATCAGAGCTGGTCATTCTCACTGATGAATAATTGACCTATGCTTTCCGAGGGGGTCTCATTACAATGAGCAGAGAGAATAGAGGTGAGAGGTTTGGTTACAGCGAGACAGAGGACGCAGAAGGCAGATAGAAAGGGCCTGGCCTAAAGTGCCCTCCCCCAACCCCAGGAAGTGGGGGACACCAGCTGATACCGAGTGCAGAGTGCTGGAGCTCAGTGCTTCAGCTCCACAGGGCCAGTCTCATTCCTAGGCCAGCCAGAAAGTCCCGAGGGACCGATAATGGCATCCCCTTAATTAATTGCCAGATTCGGTAGTTGGGGACTTGTATTGGGTGGAACTTGAGGGCAGCCCTGGGGTAAGCTGCTGGGAGCTCAGAGCTCTTTGCTGCCAGAGCCCATGGGCGGGTGGGGAGAGGCAGATTTTAATTCCTCATTAATCTCTTTCTCTCTTCTTTCCATGTCCTGACTTGGAGCAGTTATTACAGTAAGTATTTTCAGGGGGTTTTCAAATATAGATGATTTGTAAGAGAAGAAATAAAAAATACAACTGTACTTAAAGTTCTGGGTATTCCTCTCTTTCTTGATGACTCTGGAAGCTAGTGAGGCATGATCCTTTCTATCCCAATGAGGAACTTACTCTGTTTTTTACTTTGGTTTTTGGGCCACACCCGGGAAATGCTCTGGGGCTACTCCCAGCTCTGTGCTTAGAGATTACTCACAGAGGTATTTGGGCTCTAGGCAGTGCCTAGGATTGAATCTGGGTCTCCTGAAAGCAAGTGCTCCAGCGAGGTTAGCTGTCTTTCTGGTCCCAAATTGGAACCTGTTAATTGGCCTAGGGAGCTTGTTTGTTTTCTTTGGTTTGGGGGCCACTCCTTAAGTGCTCAGGGCTTACTCCCGGCTCTGCGCTCAGGGATCACTCCTGGTGGTGCCGGGAACAAACTGGTCCACCATGTGCAAGGCAGTTGCCTCACCCCTGTACTATGTCCCCATCCTCTTGAAATGAATTGGCCTGTGGCTTTGTCAGATACCTCACTCCAGATGAAATGAATGACCCAAGAATCTCACTCCTTTTCCCATGCCTTCCTCAGCGCTATGTGGAAGCCTCAGATCCACTGGCCTGATTGTGCCTTTCCCTCTAGAGGATCTGTTGACCCCAGTGACCAGTGACCCTTGTCACAACTGTGAAGTCAGCAAGACTTCACGTCCCATGACCATCCGTCCCCTTTGCCACTGCCCCATCTTTCCTCCCTCCATAATCCTCATCCACATGCCTTGTCTCGGCGGGTAAATGGAGGCAGTTCTTGGTTTTTGGGGTTTGGTGTTTTTTAGTTTGGGGGCTGTACCCAGCGATGCTCAGGGGTTATTCCTGGCCCTGCACTGAGGAATCCCTCCTGGTGGTGCTTGAGGAACCATACCAAATGCCAGGGATCAAACCCTGGTCTGCGACATGAAAGGCAAGCACCCTAGCTGCTGTCCCAGTTTCAGGGACCCTAACTCCTCCTGCTAAGGGCTGATGGATGAATGTGCTGTTCTTTTGAGTACTTCTAATTTTTTTTCTTTATTTTTTCCCTTTTTTTGGGGGGGGGTCACACCTGGCGATGCAAGGGGTTACTCCTGGCTCTGCACTCAGGAGTTACTCCTGGCGGTGCTCAGGGGACCATATGGGATGCTGGGAATTGAACCCGGGTCAGCTGCGTGCAAGGCAAATGCCCTACCCGCTGTGCTATCTCTCCAGCCCTGAGTACTTCTAATTTCTAAGAAGTGCTGAGAAGACATTAAGTGTGGAGGGTTAAACTGCTGAGAAGAGAACCTTGGGCCTCAGCAGAAGGCCGGCTGGAGGAAATGGGGCAGTAGTCAGTCGTGTCGGTGAGGCAGTCTTCCCGTGCTGCTCATTAGCTGTTGCACACTGTGGTTAAAGTAGGGTGGTGGAGTGGTTAAACACATGGATTTTGAAGTCAAAATTGTTTTGGACACCAGCTCTGCATAATCTGTTACCTGACCCCTGACCTGACCCCTTGGGATTTGACCTCATCTGTGAAATATGGGCAGTCATCCTCCAGAGCTCATGGACCGCTGTGAGAATTGAGTAGGATCACTCAGGCCTAGCATATTGTGGCTCGCCAGCGGCTATAGGAGGCAGAGGGTCATCAGTTAATGGGGATGGTCACCCTACAGCTTTGGTGATTGTAAGGTGTGTTTCTCACCCACCCACCCCCATTCCAGAATGAATACATGAAAGAAGACTTTCTGATTAAAATTGAAACCTGGCACAAACCAGATCTTGGCACCCAGGAGAATGTAAGTAGATTTCCGGGCTTGGGGGTGGGGTGTTAATATTCTGCCCTGTAACATTTCTACCCCTGCCCTGGTCTTGTCTGGTTTGTTGTTATTGGGGGAAGGGGAATTTGGGGCCATGTCTGGCTGTGTCCTCAGTCAGTACTCATGGGACCACCTGCTGTGCTGGGGATCAAACCAGGGGTCAGCAGCAAGTGCCTGACCCCCTGTACTAGTCCTGTCGCTCCTAGGGTCCCCTTTTTCCTGGCTAAGAAAGCAACAGCCTGTCCCTATACTTGTCCTGTTTGCCTGGGACTGCTGTCCTTACTGGCAAAAGTTCATCTCCGTGTTTCCTCATCAAGCCTTCTCATAATGCTGCAAAGATTTGTCTAAAATGCAACACCTGAGGTTGGAGCAACAATACAGCAGGTAGGGTGCTTGCCTTGCACATGGCTGACACAGGTTCAATCTCTGGCACTCCATATGGCCCCCCAAGGACCACCAGGAGTAATTTCAGAGCATTTCCAGTGTGGTCCAACAAAATAAAAGCAGCATCTGGGCTCTCTATAGGCCTGACAATGGTTTTTGTTATGTTTTGTTTTGGGGCTACAACCAGTGGTGCTCAGAGCTCACTCCTGGCTCTGGACTCTGGGCTTATTCCTGATGGGGCTTAGGGGACCATATGGGATGCCGGCTGTCAAACTCAGGTTGGCTGCATGCACGGCAAGCGCCTTACCCACTGTGCTATCTCTCTGGCCCTGTTAATGTTTTCGGGCCACACCTAGCTATTCTCAGCACTTCTGGCTGTGGGCTCAGGAATCACTCCTCCAGGGCTGGGGGAACCATGTTCACTGTTGGACATTGAAACAGGGTTGGCTGCATGCAAGGCAGGTGCTCTACCTACAGTATTCTCTCTCTTTAACCCCAGGTCTGAGAATGTTTTCACATGCTGTCTGGTAACTGTAACACTGTCCTCCAGTTGTTGTTCATGGATTTTCTCAGCAGGCCCAGTAACATTGTGAGACTTGTTACTGTGTTTGGCATATCTAATACTTCAGGGGTAGCATGCCAGGCTTCGCCTTGAGGGCGAGATACTCTCAGTAGCTTGCCAGGCTCTCCGAGAGGGGCGGAGGAATCGAACTCAAGTCAGCCGGGTCAGGCAAACGCCCTACCCGCTCTGAAAAATACCAAAGCATTAACTTTCAAATGTGTGACCACTTATAATCCATCCTCTGGGACTGAGAATGTGGCGTAGCAGTAGAACACATGTCTTGCATATGAAGCACTGAAATGGAGCCACCATACCACTCACACAAAAATTGGGGGGCAGATTGAGGGAGGTTCGGGCTACACCTAATGGTGCTCAGAGTTTATTCATGGGCTCTTCACCCAGGGATCACTCCTGTCTCAGACTGAACCCGGTAGACCATGTGCAAGGCAAGTGCACTACCTCTGTTCTTTCGCTCTGGCCCCCACAAAAAAATTAATAAAATTTTAAATCTCTTCTCAGTCCTTTGGATAATTTTGGTTTTGAGTATTTTTCTGGTTTTTGTTTTTGTTTTTTGGGAAGGGCCGCACCTGGCATTGCTTAGGTGTTACTTTTGGCTCTGTGCTCAGAAATTATTTCTGGTCATTGTCTGGGGACCATATGGGATGCTGGGCATCAAACCTAGGTTAGCCGCATGCAAGGCCTTACCTGCTGTACTGTTTCTCCAGCCCATTCTCTGGATAATTTTGTATGTAATTCATTTTTCTGTTTGTTTTTGGGCCACAACCAATGGTGTTCATGAACTCTATGGGATGCCAAGGATCACACCCAGGTTGGTTGCTTGCAAGGCAAGCACCTTACCCACTGTACTGTGGCTCTGATCCCTGTATGCTATTCTTTACCAGTAGAAATCGCACATCTGCAGCTACAGGAATAGCTGTTTTGAGGGTTTTTTCCCCCCACTAGTAAAGGACAAGTACTTGTCCCACAAGTAAAGGACATTTCTATGTTCTTTCTCTAGTCCAGAGTCTATTGCCATTTCTTTCTACAGTTCAGAGTCTATTCCCATTTCTTTGTCTTTTCTGTAGTCCAGAGTCTATCGCCAGAGCGATAGTACAGTGGGTAAGGCACTTACCTTGCATGCTGCCAACCAGATTTAATCCCCAGCATCCCAAATAGTCCTCCAAGCTCACAAGGAATGATCCCTAAGTGCAAAGCCAGGAGGAAGCCCTGAGCACTGCCAGGCATGGTCCAAAAGACAAAACAAAACAAGGCACTCTGTTTTCTGGGTTGGACACATTGGTGATAAACATGACAGCAATTTCCCTTCTTCCTGCAGGTGCATAAGCTGGAGTCTGAGACGTGGAAACATGTGGAAGTCATATATATAGACATTGCAGATCGAAGCCAAGTACTTAGCAAGGTAGGAACTGTTTAGAATGTGAATCATGGGCCCCGGGCCCGAGAGCTCCCTCAGGGGGCTGTAGCACATGCATGCTGAAGCCCCATATTCGATCCCTGAGCCCCTTGGAGTCACCCAAAACTAAGAGCAATGTGGGCCACACTGAGGATGTAGCTCAGCAGTAGAGCTTTAGCCTTGCATCTCTGAGGCTCTAGGTTCAATCCCAAGCATTGAAGAAAAAAAAAGCAAAAATTTGTGGGTTACTGGGCTGGAGAGAGTTCAATGGGGAAGGTGCTTGCCTTGCAGCTGACCCAGATTCGATCCCTGATATCCTGTATGGTTCCCTAAGCACCGTTAGAATAACTCCTGAGTGCAGAGCCGAAACATTGCCAGGTGTGGCCCCGAAACATACAAAAAAAAGTGAGTCACCTTTAATATACAGAAATGATATTTCTGGTATCACTGTATCACTGTCATCCTGTTGTTCATCAATTTCTTCAAGCAGGCACCAGTAACGTCTCCTTTGTCCTAGCCCTGAGATTTTAGAAAGTGCCACGTTTGAGGCTCCTTCAGGGTCAGGGAAATGAGACCCATCATTGTTACTGTTTTTTTGAATATTGAATACGCTACGGGGAGTTTGCCAGACTCTGCCGTGAGGGCAGGATACTCTTGGTAGCCTGCCAGGTTCTCCAGAGTAAGAACTGGATAATAAGATTTCGTGCAGCTGCAAATGCAGCCTTGCCCTTCCGGGAGCTGGGTTTTATAGTCTCTGGGTCTTGGCTGTTGATTAATCCCATCAACGGCCAAGATCCAGAGACTATAAATTTCTGATATCATTTATGATAAATGTGGGGGAGCGAAGCTGGGGGAGCACACCCACTAATGCTTAGGGTACCATATGCAGTGCCAGGGACTGAAACAAGGTTGGCTCTTTTAAGGCAACTGCCAGGGTTTGGTCCCCTAATCACTGCCAGGAGCAGACTCCTGAGCACAGAACCAGGAGTAGCCCCCATGAACTGCCAGTATAACCCCCAAACCAATAAATAAATGGTTAGTGGAGTTTTAAAAAACATTTTATGGAGTCAGGCAGGTAGGATAGCAGGTAAGAACCTGGATTCAATCCCCAGCACTCCATATGGTTTCCCAAGCCAGCACAGAGCCAGGAATACTTTCTAAACACCTCCAGGTGTTTAGAGTGGCCCAGAAACCAAAAGTTTTATATTTATTGAAATGTAAAGCATAATTTTCAAAAAATCAAAGGTAATATAAATGTGCAGCTTGTTTTACTTTACTTTTTATACCTAAATATTTAGCAGAGTATTCGAGTGAAAAACAGACATGGGAGTTGTCTGTTTTGGGGCCACACAGATTGGGGAATCTGTGTTTAGGATCTCTCCTGGTAGTACCCTGGGGCAATATGTGGTGCCAGGTTTGAACCCAGGTTAGCTGCATATGCAAGGCAAGTGTCCTACCCACTGTACTGTCCCTCCAGAACTGAGTTTTCTTTTAGCTTTTGGATTCTAAGTGGCTGTGTGTTGGGTCTCCTAGCTTTGTGCCTGGGGTTGCTCATGGTGGTGTTTGGGGGACCCTGTGATGCTGGAGAATTACCTGGTCTTGCATGCAAAGCATATCAGCTCAGTAAACCATGTTTCAGCCTGGACGTTTTTTTAAGCACACATAATCTGTTCAGTGTTAGGAAAAACTTCCACATGTATGTGATTTATTATAGTAAATAGAAGGTATGATGAGTTTCTGTTCCTGCGTCTACATGAGCCTATGAAGATTAAATTCCTATTAGTTAACATAGCATTGCCTCCTTTATAATTCAGTAAGACTGACAATAGTATGACTAGAGGATGGATTCTATACATTGAACATTCCCAGTAAGATTTTATTAAAGCAGGCCCATTTTTGTATTTTTATTTAATGGGGTTGGGATTGGGGGGGCATGCCTCTCTGTGCTCAGTTTACTCCTGGCTGTGCTTGGAAAACCATATGGGGTGCCAGGGATCTCATCCAAATCAGATATGTCCAAGGCACTAGAAGGCCCTACCCACTGTACTATTTGCCAGGCCCTTGTTTATATTTTTTAAACAATCAATGCAGGACTGGCATAATAGTATAGCAGGTAAGGCATTTGCCTTTCATGCAGCCACCCCCTGGTTCGACCCATGGCATCCTGTGTGGTCCCCCAAGTGCCACGAGGAATAATTCCTGAGTGCAAAGCCAGGAGTAACCCCTGAGCACTGCCAGGTGTGGCCCAAAAACAAATCGGTGCAGGGGATATAGCTCAGCAACAAAGCTCATACCACACATGTGTGAGACCCTGAGTTTGACCCCCATCCCTGAGAATACCAAATTTTTCCATATGCATGTTTTTCTGTTTTGCCTGTAACATATCCTTGTATTTTTGGTGTACCAGCAGTAAAAACTTGTATGTTTACTCTGATGAAAAATATGATCTCTTTCTCTTCCTCTCTATTTTCCAATTCTATCACTCCCTTCAGGATTATAAGGCAGAGGAAGATCCAGCAAAATTTAAATCTGTTAAAACAGGCCGAGGACCCTTGGGCCCCAATTGGAAGGTATAGTAGTTCCCACTTCCCCCGCCAGGGGCTGGGCTCCATGTGATGTGGTCTGTCTTGTGGGCGAGGGGGCGGACTAGGACTGGGCTAAGAGAGAGCCAGATGTCTGCCCTGTTAGAGTGACCTACCTGTCTCTGCATTATTTCTAATACAGCAAGAACTTGGAAATAAGAAAGACTGCCCCTACATGTGTGCATACAAACTGGTTACTGTCAAGTTCAAGTGGTGGGGCCTGCAGAACAAAGTGGAAAACTTTATACATAAGGTAAGTGAAAGCATGGGGCCTTCCAAGTGTGTGTTGGTTGACAGTGTTTTGCCCAGTAAGAGATCTTACGCCCCAAGTGATGCAGGCTCTGCGCCCCAGGTGAGAAACATAGGGTGCATGGAGAGATGCCCATCATTAGACTGATTTAGTTTGATTTCCCAGACGCTTGCACCTATCTTACAGTTGAATGCCTCCATCCAAGGGCATCAAAAAGAAAAAAAAGAAAAAAAAACCCCAAGGGCATCACCTGTGACAGGAAAGGAAGCTAAGCAAAGGGAGGAGTCAGGAGGGGGCCTTTCTATGAACAGTTAAAATGGAATCTCTCTTTTCTTGAAACTAAAAACAAGAGGTGATTTTAACCCATTCTTCAGGGCCCTGAATCACTGAACTGGACAGATCTAAGGAATTTTTATCTTTTATGTGTTCTAGAGCCACATTCTTGGGCTATATTCCATACCTGCCGGTCGGTTATTTTTTATTTTCTGTGTGTGTGGAAGGGGGTTGGCAGGGATACGGCAACACCCAGTGGTGCTCAGGGGCTATTCTGGCTCTGTGCTCAGCAGTGACCCCTAGTGGTGCCTGGGAGATCATATGCGGCATGGCAAGCTATCTCAGCCTGTTTTATCTTTAGCCCACTGCTGGCCAGTTTTGTTTTTTGTTTTTAAATAGTAGGCACTGTGGTTTAAAAAACTGTTAATGGTAGAGTTTCATGCATAAAACATCCTAGCACTCTACCGTCCACTCGGGTGTCAACTCCCCACTACCACTGACCCAGTGCCCGGACCCCTCCATTCTATACCGGACTCCCCACTCCACTCTCTTGGCACTTTTTATTCCCCTTCTGTGTCTCTCTATATTCCACATCTGAGAAAACTCATCTGTCTGTCCCTCTCCTTCTCACTAACCACATTCAGCACGGTAACTGCTGGGCAGTTACCAGTTTTAACCTAAATTTAGGCTCCAGAGACAAGAAGGAAACCGGCTTCGTTCTTTCAGAGTCTTTGCTTAGCTGGGAGCTTATGGGCAGCCCGTGTTGTACCATTTTGAGCACAGGACCTAGCTGTGAGGTAGGCACCCATTGTCTCTTAGGGCCTTTCTCTTACTTGAAGCCATACATGTGAAGGCAAGTCACTCTGGGACCTGAAGGCTGAAGCAGATAAGTCAGCCAAACATCATTCCTCCCCCACATCACGAGTTTGTGGGGGTACTGACCCAGAGATCCTGGGGGAGTCAGGGTGGGGACCACACTGGTGGCTTCCACCTTCTGGCCTCTAACTTGGGTCCATCCTTTTTATAGCAAGAGAAGCGTCTGTTTACAAACTTCCACAGGCAGCTGTTCTGTTGGCTTGATAAGTGGGTTGACCTGACTATGGATGACATTCGAAGGATGGAAGATGAGACAAAGAGACAGCTAGATGAGGTAAGTGGGACCCCAGAGAAAACTGGGGCTTTCTTCAAGGTAAACAGGAATGTCAGACTATCTGTAGTGCCCAAAGGCACTGGTCTGTGATTCTAGGAAAGTGTCCATGTCTACTCCATTATAACTGCAGGCAGTACGTGAACTCTGGGGGAAAAAACCAGCCTGTGCTCTTGAATTTGCTATCTAGTTGAGGTCTAGGCCTACCCTGAGACTCCCAGCTGATGGACATGCCACCTGGCCAGTGAGGAAGGCAGCTGCCTTTGTGGTTCTCCAAGCCAGTGGAGGCCTTTAGTGGTGCTGCCTGCAGACCTGGAGGTAACCCTGAGAGGGGGCTGGCAGGGCTGATGTAGGAATCCCATGCACGGAACTGGCAGAACAACTAGAGCACATACACAATAGAGTCCTCTAGAAGGTGGTTTTTCAGTGATTTCTGTTATTGGACCACAGTGGGAGGTGCTCACGGCTTACTCCTAGCTGTGTTTTCAGGGATCTCCTGGCGGGACTTGGGGGATTAGTATCAAACCCAGGAGGCAAGTCAAGGCTCCTGTGCTCTCTCTTTTTGGCCCCTGGGTTTTGGTATTTTTTTTAAATAGTTTGAAGTCTAGGGCCAGAGTGATAGTACAGTGGGTGGGTTTTTCCCTTGCACGTGATTGACCGAGATTCGATCCTCAGCATCCCATCTGGTTCCCCCAGCATCACCAGGACTAATCCCTGAACATCACCAGGTGTAACCCAAAAAGAAAAAAAAAATAGTATTTTCAGGACTAGAGGGCGCTTTGCATAGACCCAGAGAGAGAGCTGTTTGTTCTGTAGAAACCCAAGGCCCTGTAGTTCTCTTGCCTCATTTGGATCTGTGAGGCCCATTCTGAGGAAATGGTCAGTAAATAACCGTCAAGTAACTGTGTGAAGCACTGCTCTCAGGGCTGTTACCTCCCCGTGAGCCTTACATCTGTGAGGAGGTGCCACAGGTCCCACATTTAAAGGAAGAAAAGGTGCTGAGAGTGCAGGCCATGAGCCCAGGTCAGCCTGCCTTCTGGCAACACAGGGTAAGAGCCCAAGTGCGTCCTCCCTCAGCCCCTTCTCCCATTCAGTGTTGTTTGGGGCCCCTCCTGACCTCCCAGGGCTAAAAATAAGACAGGAAGCCGTTTTGAAAGAACTGTCATCCATTCCTCCGTTCTTATGCTGGAGTCAGCAGGCAGTGCTCTGCTCAGCCCTGCCAGCTTTCCAGAACAGTCACAGGTGAGAACCAGGCCTGGGTGCCCCAGTGCCTCCACAGTACGCAGATGCTCCCCCTACACTAGGCTGGTTTCCAGTGGGAATTGGGCACAGGAGCTTTTCCTTTCCCTGGAATCACATGGGGGAATTGCTATTAACCGCCCCCGCGGAAGATATTTCCTGGGCTGACTCACTGGTTAAGTGGTGTGCTGACTTAGTTCCTATTGAAGGCAGATGTTTGGGTTACTCATTAAGCTACATTTGGCAGGGAAGTGATAGGATTAGGGACACAATTCCTGATACTTCTGCTCAGAATCTATAGCGAGTGGTACATTTTGCTATCTCATTTATTTTTGGTTTGGGGGCCACACCTGGCAATGCTTAAGGCTTTCTCATGGCTCTGCACTCAGGGACCATTTCTGGCAGTGCTTGGGTGACCTTATGGGATGCCAGGGAGAGAGTCTGGGTCAGAGGTGTGCAACACAAGCACCCTACCAGTGCTGTAGTCTCTCTCCAGCCCCATTATTTTATTTTTGAAGGGTCACACCCAGCAGTGCTTAGAGGTCTGCGGCTACTTCTGGTGGTGGTTCAGTGCTTGGGTCTGATGCTCCAGTGCTGGGAGGGTTAGGGGCAGCTCACTGGGATTACACCCCAGCAGTGCTTGGGATCCCATGCCTTGGGGTTTGAATACTGGCCTTGCATGTGCTAGACATGTGCTTTACCATTTAAGCCATAATCAAGCCAGGAAGTGGTAGATCTTAATGTTCAGGGTTCTGTTGACTGAGCCCAGGTCTGGGTTATAGTATAATAGTGGAAAGCCAGCTTTGACCATCCCCAACACTAGAGGGGGGAAATTAGAAAGATATAGAGAGAAGCCTGAGTCTTTTGATTAGTCACTGTGGTCCTGATCACTCTGATCTACACTTAGAACCAACAAAGTTTCTAAGTGTGGACAGAGGTTTCAGGGTTTAAGCTGGAGCTCCATTCACTGGCTGCCTGGCACAGGCCAACCTAAAGTGTCCTGTGTATGGTAATGGTTGCTGAAACCCTTTTACTCTGTAAGTAGAATCTGTATTATTTTGGGGGAGAGGGCACACTCAGTGGTGCTCAGGTGCTATTCCTGGTTCTGTGTCCAGAAGTAACTCCTGGCAGTGCTTACGGGACCGTATAGGATGCCAGGGACTTGAAACAGCATTGTTGGGATGCCGCGCAAGCACCTTAATTCCCTATACTATCTCTCCGGCCCCAGAGTGATTTTTTTCCTTGTTTTTGGGTCACACCCAGAGGGCTTACTCCTGACTCTGTGCTCAGGGGCCACTGCTCACAAGGCTCAGAAGACCATATGGGGTGCTGGGGATGGAACCCAGGTTGGCTGTGTACAAGGCAAGAATCTGCCCACTGTACTATTGCTCCAGCCCCAGAATCTGAACTTTTTTTTTTTGCTTTTTGGGTCACACCCAGCGATGCACAGGGGTTAGTCCTGGCTCATGCATTCAGGAATTACCCCTGGCGGTGCTCAGGGGACCATATGGGATGCTGGGAATCGAACCCGGGTCGGCCGCGTGCAAGGCAAACGCCCTACCCACAGTGCTATTACTCCAGCCCCGCAGAATCTAAACCTTTTTTTTTTTTTTTTGCTTTTTGGGTCACACCCGGCTATGCACAGGGGTTACTCCTGGCTCTGCACTCAGGAACTACTCCTGGCAGTGCTTGGGGGACCATATGGGATGCTGGCAATTGAACCCAGGTTAGGCGTGTGCAAGGCAAACACCCTACCCGCTGTGCTATTGCTCCAGCCCCAAGAATCTAAACTTTTGAATCGAGAACTCTCCAGAAAATTTGGATCTGTCTTTCTCAGATCTGAGTTTGAGAGTCCACATAGTTAAGGATCCATTTTAGTCCCAATCCCTTGTTTTAGTGTGTTCCTGCATTTTTAAAAAATACCTTGATTTACAAAGTTGATCAAAATACAGTTATTTCAGGCATTCAGTGTTACAACACCAATCTCACCATCAGTTTCCCAATTCCCTCCACCAATGTCCCTAGTTTCCTACGCCCCCCCCATCGCTGACTGCCCCCTTAGCAGGCACAAACAAATTTACTTCATGCTTTTTACAACAAAATGGCAAATGTAATTATCAGTAAAAGTTAATTTGTGATCATTGTCATATCTCTAGCACAGCGGTAGGGCGTTTGCCTTGCATGCAGCCAACATGGCTGACCCGAGTTCGATTCCTCCGCCCCTCTCAGAGAGCCCGGTAGCCGAGAGTATCTTGCCCGCAGGGCAGAGCCTGGCAAGCTCCCCGTGACGTATTCGATATGCCAAACACAGTAACAACAAAGTCTCCAGTGGAGATGTTACTGGGCCCACTCGAGCAAATCAATGAACAACGGGAGGGCCTTTACCTTTACCTGTCATATCTCTAAATGACCCATCACTAAAGTCATTGTCATTGAGGATTTACTGCAATGGATGGTGCTAAAAGGCCTTCTAGCTCAGCTAGCACCAACTAGTGCTATTTTTGCACACTGAACTTGGTGGGCTTCTATGCAACTTTCCCATCAAGTTTGCTGTTCTCCCGTGGAATTTGAAATTTGAAGGTGTTGTGTGACTATGTATGTGGCCACATGCTCCAGGAGCTGTGGGGCTGGGATGATCTGGTGGCTTGATGAGATTCAGTCATGGAGGTCGGCTCTTTATATGCTGGAGGATGTTGGGTGTGGTGGGGGCTACGGGGCCTTCTTGCTGGAGGGGAATCTGCCTTTCCTCATTCCAAAAAGGCCCCAGAGTTCTCAGCCAGATTGATCTAGGGACAATTGGCTTGGCATTCTTTTGAGATTAGTCGTGAAGCGGCCATGTTCCTGCATTCTAGAAACTTGTGTGCCAGAAGCTTAGATTAAGCACCTTTCTCAGAGGTGACTGTGAAAGCAGGAAATCCTCTGGAATTGCAATCTGTAGTTTGGCAGTAAGAGACAAAGCAAACCAAGACCACTGTGGGACATGTTTGACCCCTTTAGAAAATGTACAAGACCTGGTATCTGTGGCTGTCTGGTATCTGTGGCTTTTCTCCTCTAAAAAGTTTTGGTTTGGGCCACCGAGATAGTACAGCAGGTAGGGCACTTGCCTCGTATGTGGCTAACCTAGGTTTAATCCCCAGCACCCCGTATGGTCCCCTGAACTTCACCATGAGTGATCCTTGAATTCAGAGCCAGGAATAAGCCCTAAAAGTTGTTTTGAGGGCACACTGGTTACTGCCTAGGGGCCACTCCTGATGGTGCCCAGGCGACCATGAGGTGCCAAGTGACTGGCAACCAAGGCTGGCAGGTCAGTGCTGAGGCCTGAGGATACAGTGCTACAGGGCCACGGGCCACACTCTGCAGTGCTCTGAGGGGCTTCAGAACTTCACCAGGCAGTGCTACCTCGTGGCAGTGCAGCACTCGGGAAGTCGTGGTACCAGAAATGAAATCTGCTTTGCATTCACCTTAACCCCTTGTGTATCTCCCCAGCCCCCAATAGCATGTTTTATTTTGTAGTACTGGTGATTGAACCCAAGGTCTCCCCTGGAGGATGACCACAGCTCTACTGCTGAGCTGTACCTCTGGGAAATATTTCCCAATGCGGACTTCTATTTAAAAATTAAAATTGGGGTCAGAAATTGGGGCTTAAATAGTTAACCATATGTGTAGTATGTTTAAGGCTGAGTTTGATCACCAGCACCACTGGGTACAACTATTTAAAAAAATAGTAATGATGACAACCATCTGGGGGTGTGAAAAGTGGGCTAATGGTAGAGGGGTCCCATGAACTATTGGACAGATGCTGGTGGTCTAGTAGGGGGCATCGTGTGGTAATATTGTACGTCTAAATATCTCAACATCTCGAGTATTGTAAACCAGTGCTATCTTAAAAAAGCTTTTTTTTTAAAGTCAGACAAGCACAATAGTTTTTCTATACTTGTGTCTCAACATTGAAAAAAGCATTTTTGCTTTTACTATGGTTACTGTTGTGGAAATCCCTGCTGAACAGTGAGATCTGTTTTCAATCCCCCCTTGAAGAACCAATAAAATGCTTTTATCAAAATAAAATTTTTAAATTATCTCCTCCTAAAAAAATTTTTTAACATACTTTATATTACCCTATATTGAATTTCCCTTCAGGTTGTCAGGCTCTCACTGTTATGAATAATGCTATTATAGCTATTTGTGCACTCAGATTTTTTTTTTTCTTTTTGAGTCACACCTGGCAATGCTCAGAAATTACTCCTGGATTTGCACTCAAGAATCACTCCTGGCGGTGCTCAGGGGACCATATGGGATGCTGGGAATTGAACCTGGGTTGGCCGCAAGCAAGGCAAACGCCCTACCCGCTGTGCTATTGCTCCAGCCCCTCAGATTTTTTTTAGATTAGAATTATCTACAAGTTGGAATAAAGTTTTGTTTGGTTGGTTGTTGGGCCACAGCTGGCAGTGCTCAAGGCTTACTCCTGACTCTGTGTTCAGGGATCCCTTCTGGCAGCACTTGGAGGTCCATATGCAGCACCAGGGTCAAATCTAAGTTGGCTGCTTGCAAGGCAAGAGGCTTAGTCATTACACTACCGCCTCACCCACTAAATACTACAGCTCCAGCACTCACTGCCAGATTTCTTTTCCAAAGAACTGAACCTATTTATAAAGATAGCAACTTTATGTGGTCAGAGAGAAGGTATAAGGATAGGGTACTTGCCTTGCACAGGGCCAACCCTAGTTCCATCCCAAGCATTACAAATAGTTCCCTTGAGCACAGTGTCAAGAATAAGTCCAGGGGCTGGAGTGATGCACAGTGGGTAGGGCATTTGCCTTGCATGCGGCCGACACGGCCACCCGAGTTCAATTCCTCCGCCCCTCTTGGAGAATCCAGCAAGCTACCGAGAGTATCTTGCCTGCACAGCAAAACCTGGCAAGCTCCCCATGGCATATTCAGTATGCCAAACACAGTAACAAGTCTCACAATGGAGACGTTACTGGGCCTGCTCGAGCAACTCAATGAACAACGGGAGGACAGGACAGGACCTCAATTTTTGAAATCAATTTTTTCTACTTAAAACTTCTGTGGAGTTCATGCCCAATTCAGTCAGCTTAACCAGTGGCTGAATAAACAGCAGTACTCCTACATAAAAAAAAAAAAAAAAAGAATAAGCCCTGAGCACAGCTGGATGGCCCAAATACAAAAAGAGAAGCTTCCTAAAGAAGGGGAGCCCTGTACTCAGGGATCTCTCCTTGAGTGCTGGAGTGGGGTGGGACATATGTGGTGCCAGGATCAAACTTAGGTTGGCTTAAAGCAAGGCAGGTGACCTGTTGAACTATCTCTCCAGTCTCTCCTTTTCTCTTCTTTTTAAAATGTGGCTATAGTAAAACTGGAGCAGTAGTACAGTAGGGAGGGTAATTGTCTTGTATGCAGCTGACCCAGGTTTGACCCTGGGTCGACCCAGCCGACCCTGGCATCCTATATGGTCCCCTGAGCACCGCCAGGAGTAATTCCTGAATGCAAAGCCAGAAGTAACCGCTAATCATCCATCTCTGGGTGTGACGGCAAAAGCCTAAATAATTAAAAAATAAAATGTAGCAGCACATTAAACCCTTAACAAGTTTGTGTTGATGGAAAATCTTGAATTTATAGAATCCATGTAACATCTTAACAGGCATTAACATGGAAAGTGAAGACATAAACAATAAAAAATGTACATATTAGGAGCTGGAGTGATAGTACAGCAGGTAGGGTGCTTGCCTTGCATACAGCCAACTCGGGTTCAATCCCCGGCATCCCATATGGTGCTTGAGCACTTGAGTGCTCACTCCCTTGCACATTTCCAGTAGTTAATTCCTGAGTGCAGAGCCAGAAGTAACCCCTGAACATCTCCAAGTGTGACCCAAACAGCCTCCCCTACCCCCCCCCCAAAAAAAATAAATGAAAGTGAGGTTTAGGCAAAAATCTATAGGAGTCAGAGGTTCCAGATAGAGCTAAGGTATGCAAAGGCTTCCTGGTCTTTAGTCAGCATACATGGGTATGGTGTCAAAAAAGAGACTTCTTTTTTTGGAAGCAGGGGACAAAAAAAAATCAGCTTGTAAGACATTGATTTTATGACTCACTTATGATCCAGCTCCTGTAGGTTCTCATTCATCAAGTCTGAGGCCAAAGAATAGACAAGTGCCCCAGGGAACTGTTTTCATCAAGTCTGAGGAAATTGACTTAGAAGAACAAGCGAAAACGTTTGTGTGATTACAATAATAGTTGTAAGTAGGGACTGAATTTCAGAAGCTCTGGGGTGGAGGGGTCAGAATTTTGATTTGATGGGGGATGGAAGAGGCTTCTTGGTTTTGAACGAGTTGTGGGCCAGGGGTTGAGCATCCCTGGAAAATGGCCTGATGCAGGCAGCCTCACTTTCCAGAGCTTTCTCCAGCACCCTGTTGAACTCTGTGAATGTGGAGCTGGGCCTTGCCTGAGATCCCTATTACCACAGACTTACTGATTATATAGTTGGGGGTGGTGAACAATAGACAAACACCAGCTTGAATGCTGTAGGAAGCATATTTAAAAATGTTTCTCAGAAAAGACCTATTATCTGCAAACTGTTGGAATTAAAAGTCTTAGTGAATATGCCAAAAACAGTAACAAGTCTCACAATTTGTTGTGAGACATTACTGGTGCCCGCTCGAGCAAATAGATGAACAATGGGAGGACTGTGCTACAGTGAGGAGAGGATAACTCTGGAAGGAGCAATAGCTTAAGCGTCCATGTTCTAGGCTAGAGAGATAAGGTAAGGCTCTTGCCCTGCATGTGGCTGACTCAGGTTTAATCTCCTAAGGCCCATCACGAGTCATCCCTGAGAAAACAAAACCAAAGCAGTCCATGTGGGGCTGGAGTGATAGCAGAGTGGGTAGGGCATTTGCCTTGCACCCCCCCTCGGCCTGGGTTCGATCCCCAGTATCCCACATCGTCCCCGAAGCACTGCCAGGAGTAATTCCTGAGTGCAAAGACAGGAGCAATCCCTGAGCATCACTGGGTGTGACCCAAAATGAAAATAAATAAAAATAAAGATCAATGAAGTAAAAGTAAGATCACAGTGGAGAGAATACAATCTAGGCAGTTTGATTCTAGAGATAATGCTCTTACGTGTTCATATTTTGTTGAGTTACAAGGATAGGAGAGAGCTCAAAGGGCTGTGCATGCCTGGCATGTGAAGTATTTCAGGTTTAATCTTTGACACTGCCAGTTGCCCTGGTTGCCCCCAGCACTGCTGGTGAGGCCCAGAAGCAAAAACATGTTGGGGGGCTGGAGCGATAGCACAGTGGGTAGGGCATTTGCCTTGCATACAGCCGTGCCCAGGTTCGATTCCCGGCATTCCAGATGGTCCCCCGAGCACTGCCAGGAGTAACCCCAGTGCATCGCCTGATGTGACCCAAAAAGCAAAACAAAACCAAAAAAAAACACAAAAACATTTTGGTTTATATCACTAAAAACATTATATCACTAATGGATAGTGATGTAATACATAATGGGAAGTTAAAATACATATTTTAGGGCTAAAGAAATAGTACAGGGGCTGGAGCAATAGCAGTGGGTATGGTGTTTGCCGAGTTCGATTTCCAGCATCTCATATGGTCTCCTGAGCACTGCCAGGAGTAATTCCTGAGTGCAGAGCCAGGAGTGACCCCTGTGCAATGCTGGGTATGACCCGAAAAAGCCAAAAAAAAAAAAAAATAGAAAGAAATAGTACAAAGTCTAAGGCATTAGTCTTGCATATGTTCACAACCTTGTGGTTCAAATCCCAGCACTGTATAAGGGGAATAGAGTGTGGCCACATTGCTGGGTGTGGCCCAGGAGCAAAACCCACGTTATATTCTGTAAGTAGAAGAGAATTTTCAGGTTTTAAAGATTTGAGTAATCACCTCCAAGGTATCTGCAAGAAATGGTATCCACTTCTGTTTGGGACTCCTGAACACCACCAGGTGGAGCTGGAACCCACTTTGGCCCCACCCCCAAAAGAGGACAATATGTTTGTACTAAAGTATAACAGCAAGGGATTGATTGGCTGCTTTTTTGTTGTTGTTGTTCCAGATGAGACAAAAGGACCCAGTGAAAGGAATGACAGCGGATGACTAAAGCCACCCCTTCCCTCTGCACTGTATGTACTACTGAATTCTCACTGTGCATGTCATAGACCCTCAAAGCAGTGTGGGTCCTCAAGGCCTCAGCAGCGCTCAGTGGAGTAAGAAAACCTGCATTTGTCCTGCCCTCTAGTAATGATGCTGACTGCCCATGCTCCCTAACTGCTATCAAAGAGATGATAAGTATTATGATATTCAGGGGCCTGTGATCTTACAGAGCTACCCAGACAGGGACAGGGCAGTGGTATGAGCTGGAGGTTAAAGTTATAATGAGTGGATGCACAAGTATCATCAGCTAATCACATTTCCTCTGAGAACCTGAGCCATTTCAAGCTGGAGCAGGCATTCTGGGGCTCTCCCCGTGTCCCCCACCCAGAGCCAGTTCCTAGTTACCATAGCATTCCCTACCTCTCCCTTGAAAAACGTTGTTCTTGGTTTTGGGCCAGAACCATAGTACAGCGGATAGGGCGCTTGCCTTGCACACAGCTGACCCAGGTTCAGTCTCTGGCACCACATACGGTCCCCCAAGCCCTGCCAGGAGTAAGTCCTGAGCACCAACACTTGTGGCCCCAATAAAACAAAAAACAAAAAAAGATTTTTTTCCCTTGGTTTCGTTTTTTGCCCCATACCTGGTTGTACTGGGATTGGGGGATGGTAGGGGACTATTGGCATCCATGAATCACCTAACGCTCCAACTCTGCACAACATGTGCACCACCCTTAGGTATGAGCCATCTCCCTGGCCCTCCCTTGGAAATTCTACTGGCCAAACAGCTTTTACTTCTGTTCATTGTTGTGTCCGGTGCTTCATCTCCTTCCTGTGTTGCTTCATGCCATTCTGACTGGTTGTCCCTAAGAGGCAGCTTCATTCAGATGCTTTGAGAGTATTTCTATGCAGGTCATAGGATCGGTGTGGGATGGTCCCGGTTCCATGCTGTCACCTTCCCAAGCCCTTTCCTTCCTTCTCTTAGTCCTTAAGACTTGCTGTAATTCCAGCAGTTGAATTGAGTTGGTCATGGAATGCAAAACCGAGCCTGCTTCCATTACGCTATTAGAAATTATTTATCAATGAAAACTGGCTGTGTTTTAGCACTAAGGCATTAAGGCCTGGCGTCTTACCCAGCAAAACTCTGCTCTTTCCCTGCCCCGTGCACTTGACGACTAGTAGCAGATAAAAGGGTAGTACTGAGGGGTGGAGCAGGTAGGGCATTTGCCTTCCACACAACTGACCAAGGTTTGATCCCAGCACCCCATGTGGTCCCCCAAGCCTGCCAGGAGTAATTGTTGAGAACAGAGCCTGGAGTACCCTTGAGCACTGCTAGGGTACCAAAACCACAAACAAGGGGTGGAGAGAGTAGTTCTGAGCCGGTTATTGCAATGCCAGCTTTTCAGTCACTGCCTGAACTTAGTTTCCTGTCTCCCTCCAGCCCCCACCACACCAACTGGCATCCTTCCTTCTTTTGAAACTCCTCCATCAATGATGATTTACAGTGTGCTTGTTTCTATTTTTCCCTGTTGCTTCCTTAATAATTGTGTTTCTCTTTTAGTTTTGCAAGACAGTGGTCAACAGGAAGGCCCAGCAGCTCCACCCTCCCGAGTGACAGGCCATCATCGGACGCAGCCTTTCTGTGCCCATTCTTCAGGCAACTTTCCACCCCTCACTGTAGCTAATTCTAGATGCCCTTTAATATTGTGAACAAATAGACCGTCTGGTATTATGAAGCCCGCGTGTGCGGGAGCCTGCTCCTCTGAGATATGTGGTGTGTAGGCTGCTGTATTTACAGCTCCTCTCCCTCTCACACTGTGTTCTCATCCATTTTTGTGCCCCCCTCCCCCAGCCATTAATTCCAAGTGACATTTTTAGTCTTTGAAAATAGCTGCCTTTTGTGATGTGGTGATTTGAATGATTTAAGTTTGTTTGTTTTCAACCTTGGGATAAATTAAGGTATTTTGCATCCTGGGCAGATCTTTGCAATTCTGAATGCTTACCTGGGGAGAGGGGATGAGTTGGCTCCCCTGTCCCCGCACAGCCACCCCACTCTGGTTCCACATGGCCACAGTATCACTTTACTCTGACTTCTGTTCCCAGTAACCAATTATTAGTATATTCTAAGCACCAAGGAAATACCCAGGGCCCAGTCAGTTTCTGTGCTGAAAATTTGACATATGCAAATAACCCTGCCCCAAGCATTGCATCTCTGGTCACTATTCTTAGAACTTGCCTGTGACTTCTTGGCCCTCCTGTTGCCCACTCTTGTCTGAATTTCTCTGCTGAGCCCATCAATATGCCTAGGTCAACGCTCTACCTGGAGGGACCTGTCCATTGTGGCCCATAGAAGTGAGTCTACCCCAGATAATCAGTCTGCCCCCGGGGAGACCTTGTATGTCCATGCTCCTCATCCCTTTTGGGCTGGTGCTGCCACTCAGCAATAATCCTCTCTGTGCTTTCTTAGAATCCTGTCCTCTGTCTTTGAGGCTGGTCAGGACACAAAAAGTCTTGACCTTTTCATGCTGCACAAAACAAGCATGCAGAAAGCTTCTTCCCAGCAGAACATGTTCCTTCTTGTCTCCAGTTGCTGTAAAAGAATATGGGGGATCAAAGACTCAGCTCCTCCTGCCCCCTTGCTGAGTTCTGCCCTGGACAATCAAAAGCAAGTCGTGACTGTAGTAAAGAACTCTACCAAAGTCAGCTGGTGAGAAAGTACAGGCTCCCAAGGGAATAGAAGCTGCTGGATGCTTCAGTTTCCTGCAATTTGGTCTTAGCCAAGTATGCCGGCCTGCTGGGAGAACTGAGCTGTATTACGTGTCACCTGACAGTCCCCAAATCTCATCAGCCAAGCGTGCAGTGATCCTAGCCCATGCTGGCCTGGATATAATTGATGGAGAGATCAATTCTCTTTTGGGGAGTGAGAAGTAGGGTGGAATGATTTATCCTTATGTTTTTGTCCATTTGTTTTGCCTTACTCATTTTAAAGTGCAATAAAGGAGTATCTCAGGATGGTATCTTTATCCTGATGGACAGTTGCCCTCCCTGTGGCCCTCCTAAAGCAAGGGTGGACAAACACAAACTCCCTCAGTATAGTTTTATCACTGCTGGAGGTTCTGTTGGAACCAGGTGTCCCATCACACCTTTATTATAATCTGTTCGCCGTGTCGAATCTAGTTATGGATCTGGGGCAGTTCCGTTGGTAACCTGGCATCCCAACTCGCTGGTAACATTTAATTGACCAAAAGTTGAAGTGGCGTTCCCACTGGAGGAAATGTGAATGTTTTCCTACAAGCTCTGTATTACCTATCATTATACTTGTGTTTCAAGCTTTCCCTTCTTCATCAACCAGGTGAAATCCAGAGGAGAGTTACCCAGGAAGCACAAATGCTGTTCTGAGCAGACTTGCTCATGTGTTCCAAGTGTCAGCAGATGTTAGGCTCCTCCTTCAGCTCTCCTTTGAAATCCACAGCCTGTCACTTCAGCTCTACTGGAGTCCCACTCCAGTCCCTTTTCTGGCTCCTCCCACTTCTACCTGTTGCCCCAGCTTGAAAACATCCACATGAATGATGCTACAATTCCCTGAGGTCAGCCTGGATCTGGGCCTCCTGCCCACAATAACATAAAGGCTTTGAGTCCCTGATCCGTTCCATCCCCACGAACAGTGTTGCTGCTGGGCAACAGTATTGGCTTCTGTTAAGTATCCCCTTCCCTCCTCACCCACCCTGAAGCCACCACTTACAGGGGCGTACAATGAAAGGTTCAGCTCAAGGGGTGGTACCTGAGGATGTGCCATGCCCCCAGACCAGCTGCTTTCTTTAGAGTTCCAGGATGAAGTCCCTGGCAGTAGCAGTGCCTCCGCAGGAGGGGTGCTGGGTTCTAGCCCCCTCACTGAGAGGTCAGGGACAGGGTCAGTATTGTGGGCACGTGCATATCTTCCCAAATTCTCTCACAGTCCCTGCAGGGACGCCCTGAATTATTTTGGTTTGTTCCTAGTGCTACTTTTACAAAATACACTTTGTAGAATTGATTAGATTACCTGTTTATTTAATGTGAGTTTGTGCCTTTTTGTCTCAATCTTCCAATACAGGTATATTGGGGGAAAAAAGCAGTCTAATAAAATCCTAGACAGAGCTTTCCGGAGTCCAGCTTATTGATGACGTCCTCAATGTCCATTTTTTTTACAATTTAGGTCTCCTCAAATCTTGCTGCTGTGTCCCCCATTTCACCTGGCAGGAATTAGCCAAAGGTACATATGGGTGTGGCCTAAGGGTTTTTTCTGCAGGTGCGTTTCTGCAGAGTAAAAACACGCCCTTGCTCATTTACTTTATGCGGCATTAGACACCCGAAAACAACTGGGTCATGTTTATACTGGCAAGTGCTTACTTTTTGTTCTTGTCTCCCCCTCTCGTATCTCTCCCAGCTCACAAGCAAAACATTCAAGTGTGAGTTAAGTCGGCTTCCCGGTCTACGCAGTTCGTTTGTAAAACTTCCGCACACTTTCCAGAGGGAATCGAGGCTCTCATCAGATCCTCACAAGAATCTCTGCCCCCCTCAAAAACAAAACAAAACAAACCTTAACAGCCAATAATTCAAAGGAACCAGAACGGCTCTCTGGCCACGCAATCACCCTGGTTGAGTGCTCGGTCGAAAGACTGAGGGGCAGGGCCTTTTTCCCTCAGTGACCGCTCGGCTTTCCAGAGTCCGGAAAGCCCCAAAGGCGCAGTTGGAGACGCGAAAAGGCGTCCGGGAGGGAAACGGGCACTGTTCGGGTGCGCAACGACACGTGAGGGCGTTACCTGAGCGGAAAGGGGTCGGAGCAGCCCCCGCCTGGCCTTCGGGCCTGGGGCTCTGCGTCTGGAAACCGGGGAGACTAAAGGGCAGCGGCGCCGTGAGCCAGCGCGGCCGGAGAGCGCGCGCGGCGCCGACTTCCGCCGGAAGACGGCGCCTCTGGGCCGGCCGCGCGCGCGCGCGGGGCACCCTGGGAGCGGCGGGGCGGGGCGGGGCGGGGCAGTGTTGCGTCCAGTCCGCCGACAGGAAGCCCCGCCCTCCCGACGTCGCGGCGCCCGCGGCCCCGCTCCGTTCAGCGCTCGGCCGCCGGCGCCGCCCCTTCCTGCGAGCCGCGCCCCCGAGAGCCGCCCGCGCGCAAGCCCCGCCTCCGCCTCTGACGGGAGCCGGAAGGAAAACAGGCGGACCGGAGCGCCGCTCGCGGCCAGTCTCCCGACGGGGGCCGACTCCGGAGCGGCCCGCCGGCACGTGGGACGATGGCGACCGCGAACCCGCGGAAGCCCCTGGAGCAGAGAGGCCGGAAGCTCAGGTGAGGACGGCGGCCGCCGCGCCCCGGGAGCGAGGCACCGCCGCCGGCCCGAGCCGAGCCAGCCGGGCGGGGAGGCGGGGCCCGAGAGCGGCCTCAGGTTCGGACACCAGCGCTCCCACGCTCGTTCTCCGCGCCCCCACGCGCGCCCGCCCGCCGGCCGGCCTGGGCCCACCTGCACCCTCCGAGCAGGCGCTCCACGTGTCATCGGCAGCAGGCGGCCCTGTCGAGGTCAAAGACGTAACAGAGCGGCCCGCTCCGGCTCGGAGGAGAAGTCTTGCTCGTACTTGTCATCGGCACGTGCATCGGAGGGTCCGCTCGATCCTGCCGTGACCTTCTGAAACGCGGAATCAGATTTAGATAAGATCCTCGGTTGGAATGATGTGGCCTGGCCCGTGCTTGCTCTGTAATGAGTAAGAGCCTTAATCACCAACTTAGTGGTCACGTTGCAAGGCTTTATTGCTAATCGTCAAGCAGGGGAGCCTTGGTACCAAGTCCAGCTTTTGCCCTCCATCCGTTCAGAGCGAATTCCTGGGCTAGCCGGGAGCCTTGGAGGTGTTAAAAGGTTCCCTTCTTAATCCCCCGTTGAACAGCAGGGGGAGATCGTAAACAAACCGAGCTCAGAATCCCTGGCTGAGTGCCTGGGAAGGTGCTTTTACAATGTTTTGTTGATGCTGTTCATAGGGAGGGACAGGAAGTTGCTTTAAGCTGGCCAAGAATTTCTTCAAATTGTGCTTTTTTAGAACATAGACCTCTAAGAACAAGGTCTGGTGAAGAGATGTTTGGGGACATCCTGTCCTTTTCCCCCATCCCCCCCTCCGGTCTCCAGCCTCTGGTACTCTCCCAACTCATTTGAGGGTGGGTGACTTTTCTTGGTCTTTGCAGGTTTTGTAGCTCCTACTGGCTGACTCTGCTGACAGCACAGGCTGGATTTCCTTGGCATGCTGCTTGGCCATTCAGCTGACCTGCAAGTCTCTCCTTCCCCAGAGTCACTGACAAGATCCATTGTTATTAAGAGCTGCTGATCTAGTTCTGTTGCTTCCCTGGGGCTTAAACAAAACAGAGGTGGAAGATGTTATCCAATCAAGGACTTTTCCCAAGAGGCGGTAGACTCTTGAGATGTTGAGAGGCCTATTAGATTCAAAGTCTTTTTCCTTAGTCTCCCTGGAAGACTTGGAATTGGTTGTGCTCCAGAGATCAGCTAGGATGACGTTAGGAAGGGGACTTGGTGTTGTATCTCTGTTATTTTACAAAATCCTGTCTTGTAGTGCTGAAACTTCTCCCAGGGTGGAAACTGGAGATCTCCAGAATTTTTCTGGTGATTTTAGGGACATGTGGACTGAAGAGTCGGGTTGGGAAGCTGCTGACTGGGCCACGGGTGATTGCTGAGATTGAATGTCTGGTGAAATTAATAACATTCCTGACAAAGGCGGGAGAGATGGCTCAAGGGGCTAGAGCACAAGCAGGTAGAAACCTCTGCTTCTGTCCCCGGCGCTACCAGGAGTTGCCCCCAAATTAAAAATAATAACATTCCTGAGAATCCATCGTATCTTCTACCCTTCCCCTCCCCGCCCCATATCCTTTGCACTCTCCTAGTATCGGTAGCACCAGAGCTGCCAGCAGTGGGCAGCTGTGGGCCTGAATGGAGGAGCCAATCCCAGGAGGGAATTTCCTGGTTAAGGGGTAAAAGGTAAAGAAGAGGGACTTAGGGTTCAGGGCCTCTATCTCTCCCTCTCAGGGTGGAAACTGGAGACCTCCAGAATTTTTCTGGTGATTTTTGCAGAGATTTGCATTTCCCGTGATGTTTGCAATGGACCATAGTACAGCCACTCATGGACCTGGAACTCTGTTTCTGGACCTGATTCTCCCCTCCCTCCACCTCTCCCCTTTGCCTCCTTTCCCCAGCATACATGTGGTGACATGGAACGTGGCCTCCGCTGCACCCCCTCTAGACCTAAATGATCTGCTTCATCTGGACGACCAGGACCTGAATTTGGACATGTATGTCATTGGGTAGGTGTCAGCAGAGCCCCTCCCCCTGCCTCTCTATAGCGATCAGGTAAGCCTGACTGGCCCCAAGATTCCCAGTGGGGAGCCTGGCCACCCTATTGTAGAACTTCCGCCTGAGGCAGGGCCATTTGTGACCTTTCGTCCTGGGTCAGAGATGGCAAGGGGCTGACTGTACGCTGCAGGAGAATGAGCAAGCATGGCCATCAGAACCAGGGCTTCTGTCTAACCCAATGCGTGTGTTGGAGGCAGCGCCCTCCACCAGGGAGGAGCCTCTGACCCAGATGGGCAGTTTGCAGGAGAAGAACTGTGGGATCATCAGCCTCCTTAATGACACCGCCTTTGAGGACACCTGGAGCAGCGTCTTCATGGATGTGCTTTCCCCTCTGGGCTTCATCAAGGTAATTTACAAGTACAGGGCAGTTGGCAAATGTGTCTCCTCTCCTCCAGGCACCCCCCTCCTCACCCCGCCTCCCATTCATTTGTTCATACTGTTGTCCATTTATTTAGATCTCCAAACCTCATTGCACCTGTACCCCTGGGGGGCAGATGAGAGAAAGGGAGCCTGCTCTGTGCTTTTTCCATGGTTGTTGGAACTGAGCTGGAACCCCCAGGGTTATATGAACATCTTGCTATTTTTCAGAATCAGAGAATTCCTGAGGGAGGTATGGCTGGGCTTGTTAAACCTCAGGGCTCACCCTACCCCCACCCTCTAGTTTATATTCACATGCCTGCCTGAAATTTCTCAGTATAGTTCATTGAGTTCTTACTTGGGGTTCTACATTATAAATAAGTTCTTTACACATACTTGTTTGTTTTATTTGGTTGGGGGGAGGCATACCCAGTTGTGGTCAGGGATTACTCCTGCCTCTGTTCTTGGGGATCACTCCTGGCAGGGTTCAGGGAACCGTATGTATTGCCAGGGATCAAACCCTTACCTGCTGTACTATTTCTCCAGCCCCTTACACACCTTCTTAGCTCCTGGACTTCATTGGTGTACTGATGAACTGTAAGGCTGATAGATGGCTTCTAGCTATCCTTTTGGGATCAGGTTTCCACTGGAGGCTGAAGCAATAGCACAGCGGATAGGGCCTTTGCCTTGCATTTGACCAACCCGGGTTCGATTCCCAGCATCCCATATGGTCCCCCAAGCACTGTCAGGAGTAATTCCTGAGTGCAGAGCCAGGAGTAACCCCTGTGCATCGCCAGGTGTGACCCAAAAATAAAATTAAAAAAAAAGGTTTCCACTAATCAGAGGGTATGTACCCCTCAAATTCACCAGAGATCAGAAGGAGAGGTCGGTTGACAAAGGAAGCTTCTGGTCTAAAGGACCATTGTTCTTTGAGGAATGTCTCTAGATTTCAGGAGCTTCGTTTATCTGCTCTTCACAGTTGTGTGGTGAAAGGTATCTCCATGTAAACTACCTAATACAGTGCTGCTTGGAAGTACCTGTTCCTTGTTCCCTGCTACTATGAATTTTGTGGCCCTAGTTTGTCTGTGATGCTGAGGGCAAGAGCTGTGAGGCCCCACATAGAGACAGTGCTGTCACTGTCACTGTCCTCCTGTTGTTCATCGATTTTGCTCGAGCGGGCCCAGTAACATTGTGAAACTTGTTACTGTGTTTGGCATATCAAATACGTCACGGGGAGCTTGCCAGGCTTTACCTGTGGGCGAGATACTCTTGATAGCTTGCCAGGCTCTCCGAGAGGGGTGGAAGAATCGAACTCAGGTCGGCCGTGTTGGCTGCGTGCAAGGCAAACGCACTACCCACTGTGCTATTGCTCTGGCCTGGGACAGAGCTAGTAGCAGGAAATAGAAGTGGTGGTTTTTGGGCTGAGGGGTTAATACAGTGGGTAAGGCTCTTGCTTTGCATGCGGCTGACCCAGGTTCAGTCCCTGGCACACCATATGGTCCCCCGAGCCTGCTCAGAGTTATCCCTGAGTGCAGTAGTAAGCCCTGTACACCTCCAGGTGTGGCCCAAAATGTGGGTGGTTTTTTTTTTTTTTTGCTGCAGGAACTAGAAAATGCCAGCCCCCAATGCCCCCAAAATTCCAAATCCGATCTCTTAGAATCAGATTTGGAGTTTAGGTTGTCTCTGAGGGCAGAGCCCCTTGCCTTTCTCCCCACCCTCTCCTTCCCAACACTAGCAGCTAACTGGCAGAGACTTGGTTGAGTGGAATTGAGCCAAGGGAATTAGCTCAGCCTGTGGCCTAGATGCCACCACTCTACCCAGGCAGCCCGACAGAGAACCTCACCCCCACACCTGGACCTGTCTTTCTTCAGTCATGAATTGAGGGCATCGGGGCAATCCCAACTTGAATCTTGTCTCTGGGGTAAAACTCTGCTGGCCATAGATTGAAAGGCATGCTGACCCCCTTTGCCTGCTCACAGCTTCCAGCCACCTCCTTCCAGATCCTTCCTGAGCTATTCCTACTCCATTTCCATCAGGTAGAACTTCTGCTACCCAGCTCCTATGTTTTTCCCACAGCCCCACCCTTTTTTCCCATTCTGAGACTTGGTGGTGGGGGTGGGGACCTTTCTCCACCCCCACTTCTCTGCTCCTTCACTGAGTGGGCTGGTACCTTTGTAATTGAGCCCCAGGGACCCAAACCTGCTCCTCCAGAATCTCAGTGGTTCCCTGGGAGTCCGTCCTTATGTTGCAGCCCTTCTTCCTTTCACTGCACGTTTATAGCCATACTTGCACATTCATTCACTGTGTTTTCAGAGGAAAGACTGGGGCTTAAGGCAGAGGATGGCCTTAGAGACACATTTATAGCCACCTTTGCCCCACGCTCGGTTCACATGCCCTCAGTCAGTCCTGGGTTTGGGGTTCCTCCTGCTTTGTCTCTGCCTCTGTGCCAGAGCTGCTGGGCTGAGGGATCAAGTTTCATAATTCCTGGAAGGCCCCAGTACGTGCTCCCCACCCGGGGATTTCCTCCTTGGCCTCTGCACCTCTTGCTCCGGAAACAGCTACTCAGGTGGCGGTGGTTGGTGTAGATGCCTAAGGCCGAGAGGGGGTCACTTGCAGCCCACCCACACTCCCACTCTCCAAGTCTGTAGAGCTGACTTCTTGGTAGTTCTGGGCCTCTGATAACATAGCTTCCCTGCTTCCCTGGGCTCCTTCAGCCTGGCTCTTGTATGCAGTGATTTCTTTCCAAGTTGGCATGAAGATGAGTGTGGTCTGAAGTCCCACAAGTGGCACGGTGGGTGCTGGTGCTCCTTGTAAGCTTACAGACAATGCATCCTATTCTCAGTCAGGCCAAGTCTAGTTATCTGGCTAGAGCACGTTTATTATCTGTCATTCATGGAGAAATGAAGCATGCAGTTTGATGGGCTTTTATATTCATATACATACACACCTGAAAACACCAACCAAGTAAAATTGAGATTACTTCCAGAACCCTAGAAAACCTGAACACAGGAACCTTCCCTATGTTTGGGGGGGACTTTGGGGCCACACTGGGGTTGCCGGGTGGGCAGGGAGTCTGCTTCCCAGCTCAGTACCTGGCACAGTTTAGGGAGTCGTGCAGGTCCGAGGATCAGACCCAGGCCTCAACATGAAGCACTCAAGCTCTTTGAACTGGTATCTCTGCAGCCCTTGGTTAAACATTCTTAAAGCAAATGGGAGGGGCCAGAGAGATGACAGCTCATCCAGCGGGAGCGCTGGCTTTATATGCAGAGACCTTGGGTTCAATCCGATACACCGCATGGTTCCCCAAGCATTATTGGATGTGACCCCTGAGCAAGGAGCCAGGAACAGTTCTGAAAAACTGCTGGTACAGTTTCTCAGACACACACACTTAAGGAAAAAAAAAGTTAATTAAAAGATCCTGGTCCAGAAAGATAGTACAGAGCTTAAGCATTTGACATGCACAGCCAGCGCTGGTTTGATTCCCGACATCACATGGGGTCCCTTGACATTCACCACGAGTGATCCCCGAGTACAAAGCTCAGAGTAAGCTCTGGGAATTGTGGCTCAAAAACAAAATACAAAAGAAGAATCTTTAGGAGCTGGAGTGATAGTATAGCATGCAGGGCACATGCCTTACATGACTCTGACCTGGTTCAATCCCTGGTACATCATATGGTCCCCTTAAGCACTGCCAGGAGTGATCCCTGAGCACAGAGCCAGGAGCATCGCTGGGTGTGACCCAAAAAACACAAAACAAAACAGAAAGAATCTCTAAACCTGTGATAACTACTTAATCCCTCTAGCATTAATGACATAGATTCCTGCATTGTCAGTGAGAAAACAGATTGAGAGACTTGCATAATAGCAAATACTAAGAGCCTTAAGCAGGACTTGCACCCAGAACTGGCTCACTTCAAAACCAGTGCTCTGGTGCCAGAGAGACGATGAAGGGATTAAAACACTTGCCTTGCACACAGCTGACTTTTGTTTGATTCCCAGTACCTCATTTGGTTCCCTGAGCACCACAGACTTTGGCTCCAAGTCCCCATCCCTTCCCAAAATAAAAAAATATGTATTAGGGGCCAGAGTGGTAGCGGGTATTTGTTACACACAGTCAACCCGGGTTTGATCCTTGGCATCCTGTAGGTCCCCCAAGTACCTCCAGGAGTAATTCCTGAGTGCAGAGCCAGGAGTAACCTCCAAGCATCACTGGGTGTGACAAAAAGCCAAATATATATATACATATATATATGCACTTTTGTATAATATATGTTTATATATACACACAAACATTTAGAAAATAGTGCCCTCAGCCACTGTCCTACATAACATTATTCCCCCTACCCGTGGCTTCAGGAGAGCCTCAATGAGAGGAATACCTCAGCTGACCTGAGCACTGCCAGAAGTAAGTCCAGCCCTGACAGTGCTGACCCTGAGCACCCTGCCCCCGTGGCCCTGAGTGCTCTGATAGCCCTGTCATCTCCCCCACCCCCAAGCCCAGGAATAGAAACTGAAACTTGCCCAGCTCCCAGCGTGCATCATCTGGAGCTGTGAGCAGCAAGCCTCAGAGACAGCCCTAAGATACTCTCAACCCTGGCCAGGACCTTGCACACAGCGCAGGGCCGTCTGGAGCCCCTCACTCACACTGGACCCACCTAGGACCAAGAGTAACCCTTGACTCCCTGGCCTGCAGGTCTCCTGTGTTCGCATGCTGGGGCTCCTCTTGTTGGTCTTTGCCAAGCATCAGCATTTGCCTTTTATCCAGATCATCTCGACCAGCTCCATCCCCACCGGCCTCTTCGGCTACTGGGTAAGGACTGCTCTGTGGGAGTTGCTGGAGGCCCTGCCCCAGGCTGGGAAGGACAGCGAGCTTTAGAGCTGGACAGATGGAAGAGGGGGAGCCTGAGTCTTACATGTTCAGGCCAGGGCCTGTGTTCCTGCTCCCCGGGGCTTAGCATGGTGGAGCCCTCAGGCGGGGAGAGCTGGGCTCTGAGGCTAAAGAGGTCGCTCTGGGCAGCTGGCATGACTGGCCTCTGACCTTGGAAGGGGAGAGAGAAAGATTTCCCTCCCTCCTGCCACCTGTCTTCCCAGGGGAATAAAGGGGGTGTCAACATCTGCCTAAAGCTTTATGGCTACTACATCAGCATCATCAACTGCCACCTGCCCCCCCACATGACCAACAATGACCAGCGGCTGGAGCACTTTGACCGGATCCTGGAGATGCAGAATTTCCAGGGGCTTGATATCCCCAACATCCTGGACCACGAGTGAGCTTGCAGTTGTGCACTCTTGCCCTTCCCCTCCCCTCTTCCCAGCTCTTAGCCTTCTGCTTGGCTTCAGTTCTGGCCCCCTGTCCTGGCCAGTCAACCTGTTCCCCCAGCCCTCTCCCAGCCTCCTCCCGAGTCTCCTTCCTGGGCACCTAGCCAGTTCCTCCTATCCAGGCTCTGGGACCCCTTTCCCTACCCTAGCCCTTCTATTCTGTCAAGAAGCCCTGGCCCCCCTTGATCGCCCCCCCTTATTTGGATGGAGGGGAGGAGTGGGTCAATCACACCTGCCCAGCATCAATCACACCCTCGGCCCCTAAGGGCTGTTTTTGGTCAAAATGGTGGGTAGATGTCCTGAGAAGCTCATTCCTTGTCTTCACCGGATTTTTCTTCTGGCCCCTGATCATGACCTCCTGAAGCTTTCAGCTCTGCAGTAACCCCTGAAACAAGTCGACCCCCACCCCAACCCCCACATCTCACAGGCTGCCTGCCTTTCTTTCCAAAGCCTCATTCTCTGGTTTGGCGACATGAACTTTCGGATTGAGGACTTCGGCTTGCACTTTGTCCGAGAAGCCATTAAAAACCAGTGCTACAGTGATCTGTGGGAGAAGGACCAGGTATCAAGTTGAGGGGTGAGGGGCATGCAGTGGTGATGGCGGCTCTGGGGGACAGTGGGGATGCAGGAGACTGGAGGGGAGGCTTTGTTGCTTTTCTTTTCCTGTTCCCCATCAGGGGAGAGTCCAAGTGCCACACAGCTCAAGCGGAACAGTCAGTTGTGCCAGCGGTCACGCTGGGGCTTCCCCTTCCGCTCTGTATGTGGAAGCAGGACTAGGGACTGCAGTAAGCTGGCACCAGCCCTGTTGTCTCTCCCACACTGACCCCCTAGCTTCCTCATCTCCGGGATGATGCACTGTCACCCTTGGCAGAGACCTGCCTATCCCAGCCTCCTCTCTGTTATTTTGTTGTTCGTGTTTTTTTTTGGGGGGGAGGTGGGGAGGAACGGGGTAGACACTGGTAGTGCTCAGAGTTTACTCCTGGCTCTGAACCCAGTGATCCAACCCGGGGTTGACCATGTGTAAGACAAGTGCCTTACCTGCTGTACTGACTCTCAGCACCCCCATCCTCCTCTCTGACCACATGATCACTAGCAGCTCCACTCAGTCTGCTCCCAATAGTCTGAGGTCTGGGAAACCTCAGACTACAAGCAGCTCAAGCAGCTGCTTCCCCTGGGACTGTGAAGGGATGTTTGCGAGAAGACTGAACTGCTCTCCCGGGTGGGGGGAGGTGCTGAGGCTGCCAGCAGACTCTGGGCCCACTGGGGAGGCGTGTGCTCACCCCTGTGCAGAGTGCGGGATGGCCGTGGGCTGCTGGGCGACGGGGCTGTGCTTTCCTCAACAGCTCAGCATTGCCAAGAAATGTGACCCGCTGCTCCGAGAGTTCCAGGAGGGCCCTCTACTCTTTCCGCCTACCTACAAGTTTGATAAGAACTCCAACAACTATGACACCAGGTGACACAGGGTGGGGGGAGCCGGTGAAGAGGAAGCGGGGCCCCGGGAGCCTGGGCAGGCAGGCCCAGCTGAGGGGCTACCTGAGAACGGAAGTGTGAGGAGAGCAGGACTAGATGCAGACATTGCCTGATGGAGGGCAGGAGGCAGGGATACATTCCCCTGAGGTGCTGACTGCCAGAGCTGTCGCAGACTAGACTCAGAACAGGGGCAGGGCCCAGGCTGACTTGAGGGTTGAACTGCCAGGGCAGAAGGGGTTGGCAGAGCTGCCAGAGGGTGGGGAGTTAGATGGATCCTGACATGGGAGCAACTACATCTCACCCTCCTAGAAACGCTGCCCCAGTGTCCCATATGGGGGCAGAAACCTGAACACAGACTGACAGGAAGTAGGCCTGCACCCCTGCCCTGGTCTGTGCGCAGGCCAGGGTGTATTTAGGAAGAAGCAGTCAGTGGAGGTTTCCCCAGGGAAGGTAGAGAGACAGTGCAGCCAGGAGCACAGCTCTGCCCCTTCTCAGCTCTGTGGCCTTGGACAGGCTTTGTTGATTTGGGGGCCACACCCACAGGTAGTCAGGGCCTACTCCTGGCTGGGTTCTCGGGGTTGCTCTGAGTGGCGCATGGGAACCATGAGGTACTAGAGATAGAATCCAGGCCTCCTGCATGCATGCATACTCTTGACCCTTGGCGTTAGCTTTCCGGCCCTTTAACAAGCCTGTTTTCTTGTCATCAAATGGGGCATGATGCAGTATTCACCTCATTTGGGGGGGTTGAGATTGAATGAGACCTAGATGGGTCGGCCTGACAGCTGCCAGTGGCTGTGAAAACTACTGTTGTTACTTCCCCTGCCCTGCCCCATTGCAGGTGGGCGGGGTTAGGCCACACCCAGTGATGCTAGAGGCTTACTCCTTGCTCTGGACTCAGAGATCACTCCTAGTTGTAAGGGATTGATTGAACCCAGATCAGCCACATGCAAGGCAGACAACCACGGTACTTTCTCACCAACTCCATTACTCTTGTTACTGTGTGTGTGTGTGTGTGTGTGTGTGTGTGTGTGTGTGTGTGTGTATCTTTTTTTGGATTACACCCTGAGATGCTCAGGGGTTACTCTTGGCTCTGCACTCAGGAATCAGTCTTGGCAGTGCTCAGAGGATCATTTGGGATGCCAGGGATCAAACCTAGGTTGGCTGCATACAAAGCAAATGCCCTCCCCGCTATACTATGGCTCTGGCCCCAACTCTTGTTATTTTAGAGTCATGTATTATTATCTTTACAAAAAAGATGACAATGCTCAGGTAATCCTCAAATTTAAACTTAAGGCAGAGGAGCAGAAAATCACTGGCACAACTTAGGCAAATATTCATCTCTGAAGAAAAAGAACTTTTCAGGGACTGGAGAGATAATACGGTGGCTAAGGCACTTGCCTTGCCTGCATCTGACTCAGGTTCCATTCCCAGAATCCCATCTAGTCCCCCAAGCACTTCCAGAAGTGATCCCTGGATGTCGCCAGGAGTAGCCACTGAGCCTCTCCGGGTAGGTCAGAAACCAAAAGGAAAAAGAAAACTCTTCATATGTAAGGGGAGTTTGTTTCACCTGGAGCAGTTCCTTTATTCCTGATGAAGGCAGGGGCACAGTCTGGACTGGAGTAACAGGTCTCTGTAATGGCCAGTGTGGCCAATACCAAGAACTTCCAGCGCAGGGCTGAGAGTGGCATGGCTGAGCTACAGCGTCCCCACTATGGAAGCAAGAAGAGAGACTGAGCTTCCTCAGGAGTGTGGGCAGATGGAGTGGGGTCATGACTAGGCAGTGACGTGATAAGAGGCCAAGAGCACAGACAAGGTCCAGCCCAGGCCCCAGAGGCCAGAAAGGAGGTAAGAGGGCAGGTTGCGCTAACAGGCTGCTCCGGAACCGGAGCTGCAGGGGGACTGCCTGTTTCCACAGCCATCCCCTGGAGGCTGCAAGGTCTCCCTGGGGCAGTCTCGGGCCTTGGGGGACTGAGGCACACCTCTTTACTTCAGAGCCCCACTAGCCAGCAGGAAATGTGCTACTGACGAGGCCAGTGCAATAGTACAGCAGGCTGGGCAGGGTGTTTGCCTGGGCGCAGCCAGTCTGGGGTCAGTCCCCTGCCAGGAGTGACCCCTGAGGGAAGAACCAGGAATAAGCTCTGAGCACAGCTGGTGTGGCCTAAAAACTGAAAAAAGAGATGAATAAAAATACTGACAGGCCATGTAGCAAGGTGTCCCTTTGTCCTCCAAGGTGGGGGAGAGAGACCAGCAGGAGGTTGAAAGGCGCTGCAGAGAGCTGGGCCCAGGCTCTCGTGTTGGCAGTCCCTGACTCTAGATGGCAGGTCTCAGAGGCATTCAACAATTTCCTCAGCTGGTGACGGGGAACTAAGGCTCAGACACAGTTTCCTGGACAGCGGCCCATAGGGCCTCAGCAGCAACAAAAACAAGACCAGGATCAAGACATTAGTGTCTTGCTAAGGAAGAGAGGAGACTTATTTTCACATATTTGATGCAATCCAGCTCTGTTGATATTATTACTGAGCATGTACCATGTGCCAGGACGTGGGCCCTAGGCTTTGCCTGCACAACTTTCTTTCCTTGGAACCTTATCTTTATCCTCCTTAGGCAGACAGGGTTGTTTCTGACAAATAAGAAAACAGTCTCATTACCTAAGCAAGATAGTAACAGTAAGTGGTCGAGCAAGAATTTAAACTAGTCTGTATGACACCAGACCCTTGAGCTTCCCCTTGCCTGCAGCCAGGAAATGACGGCATGTCTGGACAGAAACGGGGGCAGTATAACCACAGTGTTTTGAGGCCAGAGCAATAGTACAGTGGGTAGGGTTATTTGCCTTGCACACAGCCGACACAGGTTTGATCCCCATCACCCCATATAGATACCCACAAGCATCACCAGGAGTAATCCCTGAGTACAGAGCCAGAGGCAAGGCTGAGCACCGCTGGGTTTGGCCCAAAAACCAAAAGTGTTTCCAGGCTGAGGCCAGGTCCAACAACAGCTGAGATTACAGTGGCCAGTATCTAAGCTGCCTAGAAGCTCATGTCTGACTGCGGAGCTGATCAAGACATCTGCACTAGGGAGCCTGCCCTGCCCTGCTCCAGCTCACTCACAGCCTTTCCAGCTCTGTGCAGCCTCACCTCTCACACGCAGGCACTGGTAATGTGCTTAGTGAGATCCTGGTTGTCTGCCTTGAGAACTGAATGCCCAGAACACAGGTGTGAATCTGATGACCAGCCTGGGTTTGAATTGGGAATCTGAGAAAAGAGACCAGGATAGGAAGAGAACTCCAAGGGCTGGAGCACGACTTTCATACTCACCCTGATTTAGCCCTTGAGCACCACTACAAGTATTCTCCAAGTACTGCCAGGTGTAGTTGCCAAAAAGAGAAAAGGCTGCCTCTTAAACTTGCTGTTTAAAAAGCAGCCATGGAGGCAGAGCAGTAATAGAGAGGCTAGGTCACCTGCCTTGCACACAGCAGATCTGGGTTCAATCCCCAGCATCCCATACAGTCCCCTCAGCACCAAAGTCTGAGCATCGCTAGGTATGATCCAAAAACTAGCATACAAAAAAAGCAGCCGATGGAGTAGAGGGACTCAGCCCTGGGCCAAAGAGTCCCAAGTAAGTAGCCTCTGGTCCCAGAGGTGGCCAGTTGGTGACTCCAGAACACCGTGGAGGGTGGCTAAGGAAAGAGAGCTAAAGCCAGGACAGGCTCCTGGGGCATCTGCTAGGGAGGCAGCAGTTTGGCAGCTGGCAGCCAGATGTCAACTCAGAGGAGAGGCGTCCTGCAAAGCCTCATCCAGCTGTCTGAGCAATTGTGAGTGAAGCCATCAGTGGCATGTCTGTAGCTTCACATGGCCCTGGCAGCAGCAGCCCCAGGTAGGCTGTCATGAGAAATGCAGCCAGTAAGGGTGGGAAGCCTGTGGCAGGGGGATCCTGTACAAGCCAGGGGTTGTGATAGGATTTTTGTTTTCCTTTTTGGACCACCCCTGGCACTGCTTAGGAATTACTTCTAGGTCTGCACTCTGGAAAACTCCTGGTGGTGCCGGAGGATCCATGCCAGCTCAGCTGCACGCAAGGCAGTACTCACTGTAGTGTCACGCTGTCCTCTCAGCAGGGTTTTCTTGCAGGTGACATGAACCCTGCTAAACTCTGTGAGACTCTGGTAGCTGACAGAGAGTATTGGAGTCCCTCTCACCAGTTCAGTAAGAGTCATGTTAGAAGCCACACGTAGTTGCTGAAGAGAAAAAGTGCTTTTATTTTATTATTATGATTTATGTTAGGCACTGGGGTTTACAAAGCTTTAATATGTTTGAGGCATTCAGTGTTTCAATTCCAAACCCACCACCAGTGCCAGCCTCCCTCCGCCAATGACCCAAGAATCCCTTCCTCTCCTCACCCCGCCTCCTTAGTAAACTTTGTAAAATTTTTACGTTTGGGTCACATGTTTAGAATAGTGTTGACTCTCCTGGTTTTAATGTACATAGTTACTGCTCAACTGCCAAAACATTTATGACCCTTGTTCAGTGCCATTATGTTAGCTCCAGTTCACCTTCTCCTCCCCGCGGCCCCTGAAAAGTGTTTCCAGATCTAGAATTGGAACAGTCACCACATTGGGCTTAGTTCGTTCATACTTTTGTTTGCAGTGCCAGGGATGGAGCCTAGAGCCTCACACAAGCAAGGCATGAGCTCTGCCACTGAGCCACACCTCTGCCTGCTGGGTCTGTTCAATGAATTCTTTCGTGTTTTATTTTGTTTTGGGAGCCACACCTGGCAGTGCTCAGAGCTAACTCCTGGCTCTGTGCTCAGAGGTCCTGGTGCTCTGGGTGATGTTCAGGGACGACATCAGAGTCCCTGATGCCAGGGATTTGAACTGGGGTCAGACACATCTACAGCAAGCTCCTTGACCTCCTGTAATCTCTTCTCACCCCATTTTCAATACCCCTTAGCAGAAAGAATCAGAGGAATCAGGAGATAGAACAATTGGTT